GGAAAATATGAGGCCATGTACGTACTTAGAGTCGACTTGTTTATACATTTTGATATAAACGAGTCGACTGTCCATTGGAAGGAACGCGAATTGCAATCTGGGAAAGTCGTGTGACTAATGCTCCAAAGGGTGCTAAAATGAAGACAGCTCTCCATTGTTATGAAACGCCCGCATCTTCCAATGAGTCATCCTCCTGAATTCCTCACCACCATCTCCATCGTCATCAAATCATCATCATAAAAAGGTAATTTAAAATAATTATTCTTTACAACCTATTATTTTTTGTACTCATTGCTGTTAAACATTTACCACCCCTGCCAAACCCCGTCCCCATGTTCACTCCTACCAGGAACATAACTCCATCTTCCCCATTGTAACAAGGTTTCTGTTCGCGAATTCTACATTCGTAACCCTGGTGGATAGAGAGGGTTTACTGTACAGAGATGTTAAGGGTGGTCTATAGCACTCCCCAGCCTTTGCTCTGCATTGCATAAAAAAATGCTAATCCTGCTTTTACAATTCCTATAATTTTCCAACAAATTGTATTTAAATTTTAGGGCCATACGTGGCCCATCAATACACCGATGTTGCTTAGACAATTTTCATATTAAATAATTTCTCATGACACCTGCATTTATGATACATCGCTGTGTCAATTCAAGGTCTTCTTGCCTTCTCATGAAGCACAGGATTATGTCCGCATTGACCCATGAACACAATTTCTGTCAACGTAACTACCATGTGAAAAGTCCGCGTCGACATCACGTGTTGACTTTAGTTTCATCCTCAGGCGAGGTGGAGAAACAGAACCGACACAGCTGATGCCACTGCAAGTGCTCAAGTGCCACACATTTTTTGACATTGGTGCTAAATATTGGCGTCCCATGGTCTTGCAAACGTCACAATCCATCCCTCTCATGCACATGAGCTGATCTCATTCAATGCTCCATCTTCACAGTGGTTGTCCTCTCAAGTGTGTTCCATTCTTTAGCTGCCATTCTGTCACCAGTCTCGCCCCATCCGGTCATTTATATCCCTTCTAGTGACCGTGTCCATCCTAAGCCCAATTACTTTCCCTAACGGTCAATTAAAACAAATAACACTTCTTTAGCAGTCAGTGTGATGTTTCTCTGCTGTTTGACTGATTCATGTGCTCTTCTTTCTTTCATTGTAATTCCCAGCGTGCGTCTCTCGACGATTCCTTGTGGAAGCAAGAGGCTTCCTCGTGTTCTGCAATATACAGTAAGTGGGCGGGGAGAGGGAAGAGGGTTTTCCCAAAATTAAATGTGTTGGGAGTTTTAAAGACAATCGACAAAAGGAATAGTATCCGCCCTTCTGCTTGGACACCGGCTACTAAGCGCGCATGAAAAGGTAAGCTCAGTAATAGTTTCTACGAAGCAGGGACACATGTTGGCTAGAGCACGTACAATAAACAAGTTGTGCTTTATTAAGTCTTCAATATGAGAACCACAGTGTGTGAGCAGAACTTTAACTCGCCAAAGCTATATTTACGTGATCTGTTAATGCAGGGTAATTGCCATACCAGGTTTTTGTAAAACATATACTCTTTACTATATTAAAGTACTAACTATAATGACGATTATTAGCATACAGTATATGTATGTACTGTCCATATCTGGCTTTGATAGCTTTTTTTTTGGTTTGTTACGGGAAAAATGCTGATCATTATTCTACATGTAGTTAATGACAGTTGTACTTCTGCATTTTCCCAAAGCGGCGTTTAAAAAAAAAATTGCTTGCACATGAATGCGGTGAAACATTGCGCTTGCACAGCAGTACTATTTTTAGAACAGTCCACAGTATAACGCAATGGTATATTTAGGATGCAGTACTTGGACTACTGTGTCGCGAGTTTGTTTTTGGGCATTCGCTGGTCAGTTGTGTAGGCTAGTTGTTTGGACGCTTTTCAATAGGGCTTTATATGACTGCTGATCATTTGCCAATATGGAGGTGAAGCAACATATGAATGCCTTTAAACACGCTAGTTGGTCAGTAAAGGTAATGACGAATGCAAACGGTGGTTTATATCAGAGAAGGGTGCGCGATTGTGTCTAATATCGGTGTACGTGTATGCCGTGCGTGTAATTTGACCTTAACGCACTGCTGTGTAATGCACGCAGCTTTACTTTAGTTGAACACATAGGCTTTCGTGACCAATATCATCCATAATATTGTTTTTTTGGGGGTTAGATCGCGTAACGACACATTTATATTTACGCGATCCAACCCAAAAAAAAATCGATATTATGAGCTTTACTTTAGATCACTCAGTCAAAAGAATAAAACTCGTGGCCATTTTTTTTTCAGACACCAGCAGGGCATACGAACAACCGCATTACGTATTCTTAGCTCTTTCGGTAAAGTCACATTGAAGGGAAACAATAAAATAATAAAATATAGCTTTATTTCCTAGAAGTCCACCCGCCAGTTGTCTAAGGTTAACTGTAACAGTTCAGGAGAGGTCAACATTGCATGATGCAGACCTCATCAGCAGTTAACCATCGGGAATTGGCGCGTGGACTGCCAGGGATTAAATGTCTTAGGATTGGCTGTCGAAACGTCCAGATATGGAATTACTCCGGTTGGAAAAGGAGCATCTTGTTGGCGAGATATTTGCTTGCCAATAATATTCTTTTGACATTCAATCGAAATCCCAACCACCATCATAGATGTTTTTTTTAAAGCGAAATTGACTGAGAGCAGAATGGGAAGCTTACACACGGCCATGTTCTAGGTCGCATTCACGCTCAGTGGGACACGGCCCAGCAACAGGCATCGTCACGATCATCACCATCATCTTCACCACCATTTAATCCATCTTCATCATCGCCATCATCAAGCGATATGCTCTATCATTCCACCATCATCATCAGCTTAATTAATCCATCATTCGCCACGGATTAACAACGTGCATGGCAATTATGGGCCATCTCATGGCATATCACGCAATCACACGGGAACATACGCTGAACCTACACAAACACATACTAAAATACTCACTGGCACTCCTCACATGCCCTGCACCCACCAACAACATACTCCCATTAGGGATTTTTATGCATACTCGATAAAACATTTTTACGACTATTACCGTGCCCCCACCCCCACTACGGATAGACAGAGTGAATAATTCAATACTTTCAAGCTCAGTTGGAAAGCACTGGAAGCAAAATATAATGGTCTTCATGAGCGATGATTATCCAAGTGGCCGCTGCAAATTAGACAATGCATCTCAATGGACACTGACCTCGTTAATTAGCATTAACAGATTGACTCAGTTGAAACCGAGCACTGACAATCTCTTCCAACCGCTTAAAATTCCATTCGCGTAATCATGCATTAGATGGTGAAAATTGTATTAGTTTGTGGCGATTTTGCATTTCAGTCGTCCTGACAAGCATGGAAATAAGGGAATTAAATCATACGTCTGTGAAATTGTCGATATTTTGCATTTCTAAATTTACTGGGTATTCCAATTGTGCTTTTGGCATCATGTGCCAAGAGCGATACATTTGCTTTTGGAACTGATATCAGTGCACAACCGGGTGTCAGTGAACAACGCCAGAAGGTGAAGTCACTGATATAATTCTGCATTAGGCTCAGCATGTCTTTTCATCTATACTTAATGTTCGGTGCATCCCATTCAACTTGATTTTTTTAAAAAAAAATTCTCATTGCTGGAATAAGCCTCGTAAAATTACAAATATTTTTTTTTAATCGTAGTTGTGCAATCATTGGTTGACGGGCTGAGATAATCCACTCGCTACAATTAACAATCGGGTACATTCACAGGCCGCTGCCTGGATTCGCGCGCAGAGAGACATAATTGAGAGACATGATTGCATTAGTACCCTGAGCCACCCAATCATTTGAACGGTTATGCTACAGAGTGCAACACATTTTACTTGTCGGCACATGGATTGACATTGCCACACGGGCCCGGCTCCAGATCCTCTCGGATGAGGGTACAGCACAGCTGTTGCGTGGTGGGGGGGGGGGCACCATGATGAGCCACTGCGTTGGGCTATCATTTGTGGCCAGGTCTCTTTTGAAAAAGAAGCTCAGTGGGCTTTACCTGGTAAAAAAATGTTTTTTTGTGATTTGCTTACCTTTCCAATGCGTTGCTCTCCTATCATGTGTTTTTTGTATTTGTTGGTGGAAGTTTCTGACCCACTCCAACCGGACATCTTGTGAAAAAGAGCTTCATAGCTCATCGGATTCCTCCAGTATAAATCAAGATTCTGGTTATGATATGATTCTGAACAGTGTTTTTCCACAAAAGACAGCCAACTCGGGTTAGCCAAGGGACATTGGGTCGTGCGGGGCCCACCACAGCATCTGCCCCAGTGTGGATGGACCCTGTTGCCTCTCGTTGAATATATTGAAGTGATTCAAAACTGCCTTGGTACATACTGCGCCTCAAAAATATGTTTTCAATGACCTTGCTATCTTGAAAATGTTACCGAACACAAAATCAAACCTCTTTTACCGTCACGTGTATTTTTTTTCCATTTATAACGCTTAGTAATGTGAAGCCTGATGTCAAGTTACTGCTGGAAGAAAGAATCTCCATGCAGTGTTGGTCATTCGCTTAGTTGAACGTACTGTACAGTGCTGTACTTTATATTGGTCAGTGTGGGTTGGCAGTGCTCTTGACTGATTAAGATATTTATCTTCTTGGTTCTTTCGGTAAAGTCACGTAGAAGGGAAATAATAAAGTAATAAAAATAAAACATTCAAATAAAATTCTCACGACGTTTCGGCCACAACACAAGTAGCCTTCCTCAGGTGAAGAAACAGAACTGTCGGGAAGACAGCGCTTCAATGAACACTGCTAAGCTTGGCAGCGTCTTTTAAGCTGGGTGGGAGGAGCAGAGCGCCTTGACAAAGGAGTTTACATATCAACAGAAGAATTTAGCATTGAAGTAGCTGTGTTAATGTGATAGATTAGCTGGATGTTAAAGTCAGCAATTAGCATGTAACTGGGAGATTAGCATGATGTTAGTGTGAGGGATCAGCATGTAACTGGTCACGGAAGTAGCTATGTTAAAGTCGGAGTTTACGTATCAACAGATGTATTTATTATATTGACGCTAAATAACTGCAACTACCCAACTATCATACAATAAACCGATGTGAAAGAACTAAATATAAACTACATCAATATAATCAATGTACTGAATATATTGTTTATTGCTGGTGTTAGCAGTGGGCAGGAGTCGAACTTAGGTTCACTGAGTTAAGAGCACAGATCGTGAGCCACTTCCACCACTGCTCTTCCCATATTAAAACTCATGTAAAGCCTAAGATGATAATTTTTTTCTCCTGCAAAGGAGTAAATAGCAATGCTAAATATGTGTTTGATCAAATATTATAATTGCTAATCTGCTGACAGAGGCATCCGTTCATATAGGCATATTCAGACTGTTACATATTGAACTAGTTGTAGTAGACACTTTATTTTAAAGCTTCCTTTAAACGTGACTTTACCGAAAGAACCAAAGAGTATGGTTCCTTTAAACTGTACTCCTTCTGGCAAGTGGTACGTTTTAGGGGTTTCTGTATAAGCCGGGAAGTTGCACCATCAATCACTCTTTGAAAGTCCTATTGATTATTTTTGAAGGGTCTAAAACCTGTACAGTCAGCTAAGCTTGGGTTTTTCCTCATTCATATATATTTTACTCTTTGTTGGCTTCACACCAGTGGAGGTGCTCGAGTGTTATCTACAAACTTGCGATTCAAATGTCATGCGTAAGTGACTCAGTTGACGCACATACCCGGAAGGATATGATTTGCATTTCCTGCATTTTGTAGGTGTGGGCTTCTGGTAAGAGTAGGGGTGCTTGGAGCCTGATTACGAACTTTGTGCGTGTCATTAGCTTCGTACAGCATTTCACACATCGCCGAGTTATTCGAAAGGACACCCCATACAGTTTTAGCATTTGCTGCGGGCAGTGGTGGCATGCGAAACGAATTCCGCCGTCAAGTTCAGCAAAATTGAAAAACATGTGCTCCACATTCGAAGGAAACTTTTGGTTTTTAACCCAGTCTTCGAAGTGAAAAAGGTATCACTGTGTTATATTTGCTTTTTTATGAAAAGGAAGACTTGAAGGAAATTGTGGTAAGAATCATTTTTTTATCGTTTCAAAATTACATTTTTAAGCTTCATGTAAGAAGACTGCGTTTGAAATTTCCTTGTGTGTTGACCGTAAACATTTGCGAGGAATAATAAAAATCCAATTAACACATTTGTAAATTAAAGCTGTGCACAGAATATTGCGTGTTTGTTCCAAGCAAACGTCTGTTAACATGTTTTACAGTGTTTTTCCTGTGAAATGTTTGTTTATTTATCTAAAACCTCATTAAAAGGCTGGGTCATGAGTTTAACAAATAACCCATATGGCCTCGCAGGAATAACATGGCTTTCCGGTCATATGTACTTCATATTTAATCTACTGTAATTGTTGATATTTCAGCATTTGTATGCAGATTGGAAAGCATCTTCGGAAATTATAGTTAGGGTGTTGTCCGTGTTATGCCGAATACACTTTTTTTAGCATTCACATTTAAGTGTTCATGTACTTCATCGTGACAACAATATAAGGCATTAGCATTTCATACCAATCATACATGTACATATGCATATGGAAAGCCTTTTGTCAGTCCACTGCTGGATGAGGCCCTCCCCACGCTGTGCAGTTTGTGGGGTTATTTGGGCATACTTCATGCTGATCATTGTGCGATAATGAAGGTGGGGATCATAGTCGGGGGACATTTTACTGGTAGGAACGAAGTTGTAAACTGAGTGTACCAGCCTGCAATAGATTAATGTGTCCGTCCGTCCGTCCCCTTTCAATACTTTAACGAAGTGAAATCTCGTGCTGTTGGGTGTAAAAAAAATTCCAATGTTCCTACCAGCCCACCCTGCAGGGACCTGTTACCGCACTCCCCTCTGTCAAGCTTGATGGGTCACCCATCTGAGCACTGCCCAAGCCCAAACCTGCTTAGGTTTGGAAATCTCACGCGATTGGACGCATTCAGGGTGACTTAGTCGTAGCCTTGATCAATTACTGGATTTCTCAGTTATAGTTTAAAAAAACTCAATTGAATAGTCAAGATTGCCATGTGATTTGTAAATCCTACAGCGTGCATTGCTGATGTTCTGTACTCGCGCGAATACGATTGAATACAAATTCCCTGAAAACAAATATTTCACCATCATGTGTAAGCAGTTTTGTAAAGTAAAATGTGACAGTGCAGCCATTATTTTGAATTCTTTTCCAGACCACTGCTTTTGGTCAAGGGGATTGTTTAACTATACACTACCGCACTGGTCATTGTTTGAGTTGAAGGGAGAAGGCCCAACACTGGTTCACATGCCGTTTGACTCTGATGTTATCCGTAGCGAGAAGTCAAATTGAGGTTGACAGGTCTTGTGCGCAGTAGCGTTTGTGCTCACCACTGCACCACTTCTCCACCCCTTTGGCAAGATACCATCACGTGCCCATAATCGTGAATTATGGGGACGTGATAGCAGCTTAACATGTTACGGCTGTGTTCAGAGATTGTTGAAAATTCTCAAAAGTGAGGAGATACATTCTTGGGATTTCTTATCCGAATTCCTGAAATCATGAGGTGAGCAAGAATGAGTTCATGACCGCTTCTGGGTTTGTTTATTTTATGACTGATAGTGGTGTGGGCAAGACCACTTTTAGCCAATCATGAGCATAACCCGAACTATGTATTGAAAAAATAAATACTTAAACCTCTTTGTCCAAAGACTTAACCGCATCCGTGGCATTATTTATATATATTTATTATCACTATATGACAGCTTATAAAATGTAACACTAACAATGTTTGGTTACTGAAAGAGCAGCTTATGAAAGCAAATATGTAAAGAATTATTATAATTAAAGGGTTCAAATTAACAGGGATAGCTTTTCTAAAATAGCTTATAGACATACAAAAATATCTATGTATTGTATCGTAGTTATATACTAAATAGCATATAAATGCAGTGCTGGAATAGTGACTAATTGGCACGTTTTGTTTACATTGCAAACCTCCCTAATTGGCTGTATCGGGTTGTGGTGGGTAAACGGCACATTTATATTTACGCGATCAGACCTCAAAAAACCCTTTATTAAGAACAGCATTCATATGTTTAAATGGTGATTGTAAAAGTCTACCAGCGTTTAATATGAACGATCATAAAGCCTTGTAAAGAGTGTCACCACGCCCGACTGTGGAAGAGGCGGTACACAAACCCTGGTGGTGACCTTGAGCCCGTGGTGTAAGTTTCAGATACATTTAAAATACGAGTCAAGTTATTGAAATATTCATGACGTTATCTTAAAATTGTACCATTCATTTGTGGGACATCAGCAATTGGGTGTCTTAAGCGGAGACTGGGCCCCATCATAGGATTGTGGTATTTTCTTTGCTGTTTTAGGACTGCCGACGAATATTAATATCTGCCCTATACAGTACTAATTTGAATGGGGAAAAGTTTGACTTTCAACGAGGTATGTTATGCGGGATGACCAGGAATTGGTCGGTTGTATACTGACGATGCTACTACCCAGAAGTGTCCAGGGTTATTTTTTTCAAGTAGCATTTTTGTTAAATAACAAATTGACGTGGTTGAAAGGGGACAAATTGGTTAGAAATAATGGACACCCTCCCACCCCCTCCCCCCTTTGTTCAGTAATATGAGCCATTCTTCAAACAAAACTCATCTTTCGCAATAGCTGGTCATGTTCGGAGGGCTTTTTGTGTGTATGGCAGGAGTTCAATCACTTCTGCATTCTCAATTTCACGCAAGTGAGCAGTGTATTATGGGAAAGTTTATTATATATGCTCTGAAATGCTTGTTGTAAAATCACAATACATTTTTTGTACAGTAATTTTTATTGTATAAAAGTTTGGGAAATATCACACTCAGAAAGGTAAAGTTCAGCCCTGCCATTGCTTGGCCACGCCACTACTTGTGACTTTTCCTCCACGAGAGGGAGCTCTGGAGAGCCCCTCGAGAGGGCTGTATGGACGACCAGAGGCAGGATTACCCACAATTCACCCCACCGCGCACGAACTTTTACCAAACAGACACTGTAACAAAAATATATTTGTATCTCTTCATTTCGGCACTTTATGGGTTTAACATCTTTAGTGAACATAATTCCCGAAGTTTCCGCATGCAGACAATATTTGCTGACAATTTAAATTGATTATTGCATGGACATAATCGGTCTTTGACCAAAGGAATGCGTGAATTTCTCTACTACTTTAATGAGCCAAACGCATCACCTTGGCAATGGGTGACTCTGTTAGGGATACATTCGAGTCACGAATGCTTTATTTATTCTGCAACATTTATAATACATGTTTATGGCACATCTAGGCCTGACAGTGTGGCCTACACAATCAAAAAGCCAACGGTTGTTATTATTGTGGCACTGTATCCTTGTTCATTCCCACACCAACTTTGAAAAGTAATACGATACGTTCTCTGTTTACTTTTAAGGCAGCAGGTTTGTCATGGTGGTCATGGTGTGTCACAGAAAACCTGAGATACGTTAGACTAGGCTTCTTCAGATTTGGACTGGCGTCTATACCGGCCATGAAAACCATGAGCATTAAAACTCATGGAGATGCACAGAGAGATAGAGACGCTCGGAGATATACAGAGAGTGACACTGAGATACAGAACGGGTCATGGGCTTACTCGCACAGACACAGAGATATACAAAGACGCGGAGGTACACACGAAAATACAGAGAAGCATGCACACATAAAAAGGCACACGAAGGCAGCGTCACATTATCTTTCTTTTTAATCGGAAATGCTCTACGTATAGTCAGGATGTGGGGGTCACTGGCGCATCTTATTCTCTGATCTTTCCGAGAGTATCGTTCCCCCCACCCCCCACACACACATCGGCCACGAATATCGCTAAATGTGATTGAAATAAAAGTGGAGCATTAGTCACGGTTACAAATGAGAGCTGTTTAAAGGTGAACCCAACCAGCAGGTACCCACCCCAATGACACACCCTTCCCTGCGGAAACCCTGACCTGTGACACACGTGTAAACTGAAACAATCATGACATAGCGCGCATATTGTCGTGAAATGGGCACAATTTTCGATCGAGAAGTTAGAAACGTGGCTCTTAAAGTATCCTCGTAAGGTAGCCTGAACGAGCGAGAGCCTGAACAGGTGAGTCTTGGGCTGCCCCTTGAAGGTGGACAATGATGCCTGGATGCTAAGTATGTGCAGTGGTAGATGGCTAAGGCAGGACAGTCGTGGTTCTGAGTACGATGGACTAAGTTGTTCAACGTACTCTGCAGGACGTGGCGGTTTGCCGTGGTCAGTGGAGCGAGAGAAGGTTGGGGAGGGCTGGCGGGAGACCTTGAGAGAGAGAGAGAGAGCTGGCGACATGGTAGCGATGTTGCACCGTGTCCTTGATTTGATGGTAGATGCAAGTGGAAGGTTTTTTTTTTAGTGAAGCCACGGACTCCGTACGGCTGTGCCTCGTGCCCAGGAAAGGTTGTTTTTTAAAGCCGTTGTGTGGTGTGTCGAGGCGTTTTACGTCAGTCCGTGTATGGATGGCGTTGCGTTAATCAAGGCGAGTGCCAACAACGCTGCGAGCCAGAGTGTTTGCTGCGGCAGTCGTCAACGTTGGGTGGATGTGCCGTAAGGCCCCCTGTTGAGACGGTGATTGCCACATCTTTATTATGCTGAGCACGTGGTTGTCGAGTGAGAATGTGGAATCCAAGGTGATGCCGAGCATTTTCAAATGACTTGAGGGACTAATGGTGGAGCCAGGGGTGAGTCGGTTTTGAAGGAGCGACGCCGTAGTAAGCTGCTCCCTGGTGCCTTGGGAAAAAGCTACGGATTTTTCGGGGTTTATCTTATTTTCATTTATATAGCACCTTAACCAAAGGCACGGAATAGAGAATTTAGCAATTTTACATTGAAACGGCGTGATGAGATGAGTTGATGACAAGGATGGTAGTGCATGATGAATATGATGATCATGGGTGAAATAAACGATGGTGAGAGTGATAATGAGTGGTTGATGTTGAGCGAGTGTGGTGAATGGGTCGGAAAGTTGGGAAGAGGGATCATAGTGTTCGTGCTGGGACAGGGAGGGGGAAGGGGGGGAGGTTGGATTAGCAAGGGTTAAATAAGTGAGTTTTTAGGGAAGAATGAAAAATAGTTAATGACGCTGATTGTTTGACATGTAGAAGGTCATTTTACCACCAGGGCTGTAAGGTCGATGTACAATTGGCAGGGCTGAGTGGGCCCTGATCGCAGGTTAGAGTACAGTTTAACTGAGTGTCATCAGTACAAGTATTAGCGTGACTCTACGTGACGTCTGGGGATTTGCCTGCAGGGAATAAAACTGTAACTTTGTGCGTATCTTCTGCACTGTGTCAAATTAACGTTATTCTGTTTTTTTCTGCGTGTTTTTTTTTTTCAAGATGGCTAAAAGGTGTGATCCCATCAAAGATAAATGTCCAAAAGGTACAGTATTATTACAAGTACTTTGTGAATTGAAACGTCTTTTGATGTCTATCCAGTGGTGGGAAGTAATTGGTGATGCGGTATGTGGTGTTGTATTCAAAATACCAAAGGCAATACCTGTAATTCTGAAATATCGCCTATTATATTTTTCTCTTTGGAATTGATGGACGTGTTGAGTTTGGTTTTGTTTATTGTGCGTGTGCACCACTGCCAATGCAGTAGCATTACCAAATAATTTGGTAGATATAGGTAACACAAAATTTATATAGAGTAAATTAAACGTTCTTCATAAGTTTTAACCGAAAGCTGGATATTGGCACATGTGTACCCAAGGTTAATTGGAATGCATTGAGCTGTTTTAATATTATTTTATTGTATTTCTACATACGTGACTACCGGAAAAACCAATGAGTGATGCATTGAGTTATTGCATTTTGACCGCATATTAAATAAAATAAATGTAGGATCAATGCATTTCAGAAAACCCAAAGAGAGTCATGCGAATGTAAATTGTTTTTCCATCTTATAGCGAATGGCTTCAACGGCTATCCATGAAGGTTAAAACTACGCACGGCGGGGCATAGAATACCTGTACTTTGAGGTGACTCAGAGAGACAAGAAGACACACGTTTATGTCAGGTTGTGACTATCATGCTGAAGAACACAGATGGACTTCAGCACACCATGGTGGTTGGGAGAGAGAGTGTCATAGTAACACAAGTACAGTAAAACCTTGGATTGCGAGCATAATTCGTTCCGGAAACGTGTTTGTAATCCAAAGCACTCGTATATCAGTTGTGATCACGTGACGCTCGGCAGTACAAAGCGTATACGCACTACTACTCGTATTGCAAGACCTCGCTCGTTTATCAAATTAATATTTATTTAAAAATTTTGCTCGTCTTGCAAAACACTCGCAGACCAAGTTACTCGCAATCCAAGGTTTTACTGTAAATATATTTGGGGTGGGCGGGAGCAGGATTTGTCCAGAAAAGCCTCACCAACCTCCAGGGACTCTTTGAGGAAAGACCTGCTTTGAGACATTGGGCCCTTTTCTCTCTGTATTTTTGCCAGTGGGGTAAAAAAAACCCTGCATTGCTGGAAATACTCAAATTGCGCACAAGATACGGGTGGTCATAAAGCGACTTGCTGTACTGTGTCCTGAAGGGACCTCAATGTCCAGCAGGGGTGGTGTCTCAAGAATCCCACGACTCATCTCCAAATGATCGATCAACCTGTCCTTCAATTTACTGCATCGCAAAGTGTGTGACGCCATGAAAAATGGTATTAATAGGCGCTTGACAATGCGTTAAGTCATTGATTATAATAGATTCTGGCAATATTACACGAAATATTTACAACTTGAAGTGAGCTGTAGAAAGCCGCTGTCTATCGGGTATTTGGCCTACTCTTCCACACTGCCCAGAGGTCTTGGAAAAGGGGGAAAACCAAGACTTTGCCCGACCACACGCGGCTAGCCAATCGACGAACTGTGCTTGTGCTCATTTGCACTGCTGGGTAGGACAGAGGAAGGAGGGAATTTAAGCTGTACCGTTGTTTCATCTGATTATGCCGGGAGATCAATTTGAACGAGTGACCTCCGGTTTGCAAGTCCGGTATGCTGACTATTCCACCATGGTAATATTCACACGATTGCTGTTACACGTGAAAAATAGTATTGTATCCGTAAGCAATACATCTGCTCTAATATAAAAAAAATAACGCTCTATGTGGTGCCATTGTCTATTTTTACTCAGAGTCAATGACTAAACCTTGTTAAAAAAAAAATTCCCCAACACTCTGCACAATCACCGAATTGGCACACAGTTACTCACTGGTGTGTGACAGAGGGGATTCTGGTTTTTAGTCGTTTGGAGTTCTCCATTGTCGATGACAGCCACAGTACCGTACTATACTTCACGCAGAATTTCGAGCCAAGTGTTTAGCCGTTGAGAATATTATGAGGTTCTGTAAATTTTGCTGACGTTACAGAGGAAGTCAAGCTTCACATGAGTAATGCGGTATCTAAATCATTTTCAGATTAACAAAGGACCATCATATTCATCGTCTTTGGTTCTTTCGGTAAAGTCACATAGAATGAGAATAAAATAATAAAATAAAATAAGACAATACAATTCTCACGACGTTTCGGCCACAACACAAGTAGCCTTAATAAAGTATTAAAGCTTTCGTGACTGCATAAAATTACTCATTGTTTTTTTCGGTAAAGTCACGTATGTAGAAATACAATAAAATTATATTAAAACAAAAAAATATTAAAACATTTGTTTTAATATAATTTTATTGTATGTAGAAATACAATAAAATTATATTAAAACAAAAAATTATTAAAACATTTGTTTTAATATAATTTTGTTGTATTTCTACATATGTGACTTTACCGAAAAAACCAACAAGTAGCCTTCTTCAGGTGAAAGAACAGAACTGTCGGGACGACAGAGCTCGAATGAACGCTGTTAAGATTCGTAGCGTCTTTCAAGCTCGGTGAGAGGCGTGGAGAGCCTTGACAAAGGAGTTTACCTATCAAAGCAGGAGAATTTAGCATTGAAATAGCTGAGGGATTAGCTTGTGACAGAAATAGCTGTGTTAAAGTCAAAGTTTACATATCAACAGAGGCATTTAGTATATGGACGCTAAAGGCCTCCAACTACCAACTATCATAAAGTAAACCGATGTGAAAAAACTAAATCTATATTACATCAATATAATAAATGTACTTTATATATTCTTCATTAAGCTGAGCTATTAATCACAAAGCAACTGGGTATACATTACACTATATAATGAATACCATATAGTAAACCAATAAAAAAAAACAAAATATAAGCTCCCTCAATGTTATTTTATTATTTTATTCTCCTTCTACGTGACTTTACCGAAAGAACCAAAGAAGACGAATCCTTGCAGTCACGAAAGCTTTAAATCGAAATTTAGACCATCATATTGTATGGAACATACTCGCTACACACTTTCCTCCGCCACAATTGAATCGTCTGGTAAATTGTAAAAAATAAATCACCTTTATTAATGATGCACAAGCACAGAAAAAAGCACAGCGAGTAAAACATTCAAACTTAGCAGGATTAGCACTCTAACCAATATATAATTATACACGCATGTTCTGGAGTTCAGCCTTATTGGGTTTTTTGTAAAAAAAAGAACTTCATAGCTCATCGGATTCCTCCAGGATAAATACAGATTCTATATTTTTTTTATCATCGGTTTGAACCATGCCTATTAAATATCCAACATCTAGGACACAAACGTTTATCATATGAATATAACTTAAAGCACTTTTGCATACCACTGAATAAATAACAAGCATTTAATCAGTTTTATATGAATGTCAAAGTTAATCTCTCAAACATAAGCACCGATTGAATAACAAGCACAGGCATTTATATCTGAGCAGAACTTCATCGACCTATTGGCTCTCCAGACAAATATCCAGAAGCAAACTCTGGAGCAGTCTAAACCTCATTAACAGTATCATCAGCAGTCAGGCTTGTTAAATATATGCTGCTGGTGTATCAGATGTCATTGGCAAGACGACTGCATTTATGGTGATACTAAAAAGGTGTTAATATCTCGATGTCGAGATGTCGACTACCTTGCCTGGTATACATGAGGTCATGGGTTCGATCCCAACACTGACACCTGTATATTTGAAGTTTGGATGTTCTCCCCGTGGTCGTGTGGATTTTTTTGCTGGTCCACTGGGTTTTCCCTCCACATTTATAAACATCTGTTTCGAGAATTTGGCTGCTATAAATTTCCACATGATTAGCCACTTCATTGGGCTATCATTTGTGGCCCGGTCTCTTCTGAAAAGGACCTACATAGCTAAGTGGGCCTTACCTGGTAAAATAAAAATAGTAACGTCAATAAGTGTCGATATAAACAAAAAAATACTACTTAATAATGAAACTAGAAAAATTAGCTCATCTTAAATGACCATGACAAAATATGCTCTATATGCATCTAGTTACCAATAGTACCTAGTAGAGCACTATAAAAGACTTAGTGCATTCCATACAGTTGGCCAAACACAGAAATTGCCCTGACCCCAATCATAAATACTGTGAGTGAGTAGGAGGGACATTTAAGGGGTGAACTCATCTGGGACATAAAACATGTCAAGTTGCACGGGGCGAGAAGGATGGCAAGATACGTGGGGAAATTCACTTCGAGTGACTTGAAGGGTAGCGCTCAAGAATGTACCAATAATGGATGGGGTGGTTTTTCATTCGCGGGCTTGCCTGCCTTACCATATGGGGGTGTTCTGATTTTTATCACTCAGTACAATGTTTAATGGAACATAAAGGTTAATTTGGCCAATTGAATTTGATTAAAAAAATATGTGTACAGGATAATAAGAACATCACAAATCAACACAATTAACTAATTTAGAATTTTAATTCTACCGCAGTACTATTACAGGAAGATTTTAATTAGGATGATGTTAAACTGTCTTGTGATATCACGAGAAGACATATATACAGTACATTACTACGTCGGAAGATTGTACAGCAGCAATGAATCAATAGCCATGAGTCGGCCATGGTTAAATCAGCCTCTCATTTATCCAATTGTGATAGAGTGAAGATCATCATGTGGAGCGACTTGTTCCCCCCATGGGATCGTAAATTCTACAGAACTAGCTAAGGACTGCCTGGGAAGAACACTGACATAAAATAATGCTTTATCAAGGCAACGTGTGAAATATTGTAACACAAATACCCTCATGCTATGCAGAGAATGTCAGTCAGTGTGTGGCACTATGACTATCAAAGGTAGGAGGCTAGTCATGTTCTCCCAAACATTCTGTCTAGACGCCGCCCTCTTATTTTGGTTATTGCGGTTGTGCAGTTTAGCCCTTCGGTGTGTGTCTTGGGAACTCGTGAAGAAGGTCCGCAGCACAACCCACAAACACAACACGGATCTGCGAGTGATCCTGTTCTAAACACATTAATGTGCATATGGCTCAGTCTGCTATCACATAGCTACTCTGTGCAATAATACATTAATGAATATTGGCTTTTGGAATGGCTCGCCTACTCTGTACCTGATATCATGATAATGTGTTGCAGTGGAGTGAGTAAAGTTACACTTTTATATGAAGGTTTATCTCGAAGACGTGTATATTTTCAATTTGAACTTCTGAGTTTCATTGTGGTTGGCACACTGTCATCCTGATAATGTCATTAGGTACTGCTGAAATATGCATCTTTCTGTAGATGAGACATCAAACACACTGCAGCATTACTCAGCATGTGTCCATGTCATTGGAGACATTTACAGCAACAATAAAAATCACCTCTTTTGACTAAATTATGGATTTTAAAAAACCCCAATGCAGGGTTGAAAAGTCATGCAAAATATATCATGTAAAATAACAGTTGCTCTCTGCAAGATACAATTTGAAATGACTCAAGAAACATGATATTCATTTGTGTGCTATTAAAGCCTCGTAAATTATGGTGTACTTATCGTAATTTAAGTGCACTAAACATTTTTATTTACAATCACACACCGTATAATAACTACCTTGGATTTGTTCAGAAATTAACCACTTTAATAGGGGCATAATTTTCAAACGATCGAAGGCGTTTTAGCTTGACGCATTGCAATGTGATCAATGATCGCGTATAGAGGGGGAGTATTGTACTCGTATTAAAGAGCATTCCTAAAAATCAGGTGAAATATTCAGATAGATCCACAATCACATCAAAATCAATGGAAAACAAAGTTGCATTGGCCAAATGTTTGGCATATTTAGATGCCCCATCTTTATACGCTGACAATGCCAAATGGTATTGACCAAACATCCTAATGTAGTACTTTTTGCAAAACAGAAAAGAGACTCGATGAGGCTGTCATGGGTAAATAGTTGGAATCGTATATTTGTTATGCGTATATTATGGTTAGCCTTACAGGATGAATGATTGTATGACTTTAAAATGTGCCTGTATTTAATAAATATCATGCAAATAATGCCCGACATTGAGAGTGCCAGGTGGATCAGAGGTCAGACCACTGATCTGGTCCTGGTTAAATGCTGGGTTCGAAGCCAGGAAACTGCCTGCGATTAAACCAGATTCTCAAGTGTTCTTAGTTGATTGATCTCAGGCACCAATTACTGCACAAACAAAAAATATACTCACCACATTAAATGTTGTTCTCCACTTAATTTGGCAAAATTCTGGCCCTAAGAATGTAAACTGTTTGCTTGAATTGTGATGCGATGAAGTTAAATAGCCAACTGGGAAGCGCTGCATCCCCGCTATGTGCCACGTGGGTCACTTGAAGGGATTTCAGTGGTAGCTCTGTCATGTCCACTTTTGCAGGCCGTTTGCTGTCACAAAGGGTTATTTATACCAGTCCGTGAGAGATCCACATTGATCAGTTGTCTCCTGAAGATGCTGGTGGCATAATCGGGATAAAGTTAAGAAAAATACAAAAACATTTATGAAAAAACACTGAAAAAAAATTATTGCATGTTTATAAAATGTACGTCAACTGGTTCGGGGGCTATTTGTGCCACCAGTTTCTGGGTATATGCCGATCTGTATCAAGGTACACGTCAAGGAAATGCCACTTGGTTTGATTGTATTCCACAGACATGCAAATGTGCACAAACAAGCCTAGGGTCAAACATTCTGTCCAGGTTTTTTTCTTCTTCATGAAAACACCAGTGTTTCCTGCCTACCCACAGCAATGCATTGACATATCATACACATTTATTTTTTACCCTTAATGACAAAAATAAACATTGCAATGTCCACACTCATATTTTTTTTCAAACCCTGCTTGTGATTCACTTTCAGTTGTGTCCTTCACTCACAGGCAAATAACATTACAAGAGGGGAGGTTTGTGTTAATTTGTGTCGCTCGAATGAGTTTGGGCTCAATTGTGCATCTGAAAGTATCAAAACTGCTGTGAGTGGTGGAGCTCAAATTATGAACTATACATAATCTGCCATGGTGTAATGTTTAGTACACTCGACTTGCAATCCAGAGATCACCAGTTCGAACTCCTGGCTCGCCATTGGAACCATTGAAATCCCCCTGTCGCTGTCCACCCAGCAATATAAATGGGTACACCAGAATTAATCTAAGGCTGGTTGCGTGTGTGGTGGGATAAAGTGTGGATACTCTCACCTCTTCCAAGATGTCTGGCTCTCATGGAAGTGTCGGCTACATTTCTCTCTGGAGTGCAGCCCTTTAAAGCTCCCTCTGGTTGATTCCCTTCCGTCAGTAGTGGGTGAGAAATGAATTTTAGGGCTGCACCTTTACCTTATATAAGCAATACAATGAAATACATGCTGAAATCAGAATGTTTACACTTTTAATTGTTTTCGCCATTAAACTGATAACAGATAAACATATAATTATCTGTCAATGTGTTTTGACATGTGTTTTCTTTTTCGCCCAGGCTACGTTTTACAAAGTCGCTGCACGACAACCTCAAACGTCAAGTGCTTGCCTTGTCCACCAAACCACTATCTACCATACGAAAATTCAGAGACGAAATGCTGGCTCTGCACATCATGCAACAATGGTGAGCGTGCTTTGTGACTACACTCAATTGCTTCAATCTCTCGTGCGCACACTCACACATTCATATGTTGGTAACTCTTATTGTAATGTTAGCATGCCACGTTAGTCTAAAGGACGTAAAACAACTATTAAACTGCTCTCCTGCAGAATTAAGGGTTGGGTGGTTCTCATCTCGTCTTCATGCCCAAGAGCCAGTGGTGGAAATTCCACATTCCTATGGTGGGCAGTGAGTATATCCATAGGACAACTAATGTTGGCCTCCCCAAAAAAGTGGTACTCATTTTATGGACCCCAGATGGATGAAGGGTTGTCAAAAATTTGCAAGGATATGAATCCGTATTTTTCTGAATGCAAGACACCAATCTATCACTGCACCACGCACTAACCCAGCTCGCCCATTATACAAATTAAGTTGGAAATTACTGGCCTGTTGATAAGAGGGAATATCTGTTTCATTGCACAGGCTAAATTAAATAATTCAAACCAGCATAGCCACTTGTGAATAAAATTAATTCTCACATGCAACATTGATCCTATCCTTTAAAAAAAAATCACAGTCATTTTGTTATGCCCTTTATTCGGTATATTTTTTTGTGATAATGGGATGTGTCCACTATTAAAAGAGCAGGAATGAGCACCGTGTGGCTGTGAGTAAGAGAAACACATTTAAAATTTGTTATGTGGCTTCATCATCCACGGCGATTCCTAGAGGCGATGTGTGGCTCTGCTGAGTTAAGGCTCAGAAGGAATGTTTTTATTCACTTCGTGACTTAACGCCTTTCGCACAGAAGAGACGCAAATGTGTTAAATACAAATGCATATGAATAAAAGCCTATGCCAGTGCTAATAATATTAAATCAGCACCTTTGAGATTCATGATTGATTTTATAGTTTTAAGTGAAATGGTTGTTTACCATGAAGTTACGTATAAGAAATAAATTACAACATTTATTTATATGTATGCCATTAAAAATACAATAAGGTTTCAAATGGAAAACTGTACGAATGAAATCAATTTTGCTCGACAATATGTTACCTGCAGTTAAATGGAAAATTATCCCATTGAATGGTTTTTCATTATTTATCAGAGGCATTTTTACTTTTCGTAACACGTATATAAAACAAAGCCAAACGAAGTGTACTAATTACTAGCTGTTGAATACAATTATGATCATTAACGTTCGTGCACACACTATCACGTGAGCGCAGATCACAGTGGATTGCATTACTTACAAGTGCTGCTCGGTGTCCCGAAATGGAATTACTCCACGTTGACAGCTGCACAAGTCTACTAAACCAACACGCTCAATATCTCATGCCCCGCAGAGTCTTACGCACACACACACTGGAGTGAAAATCTAATTTCAATGTAAATGTGGTGCACAGTTAGGATCGCTTACCAACCGCGTAAATGCAAATGGAATTTAAATCATTGGAAAAAACGCCAAGTCGAGACACATTTGTTATTATTACACCAATGTCGATAACCACGTGTGAATAGAAATCTGCGTTATGACACAATCTGAGCGCAAGGCTCCCCCAAAGCCCAGCCCCCCACACGGGGCCACTGGCAATGAGAGTGCGCTCCCAGAAATGCTGGGTCTTAGGAGGAGATAAATAGCAGAGCCAAATGTATTCTCGCTCACTCTTAAAATTACGGTATGTAATGAAGTTATTATTAGGAAGACACTGGAGCTATGCACTTTTAAATCTAGAATGAAAACTCATTTCTTTAGAACAGATTTTTTTAGTTTGTTTAGTTTGATGTCCTTCCCCTGCACCTCTGATTAGCATGGTTGGCGACGTACGGTGCAAAAGAAGTCCAATATACATACACACGCGTGTTTTGTAATGGAGGAGTATTTGATAAGTCAAATGTGAAATTTAAATCTCGCACTGATACCGTTTGCTTTTAAAATATGGAGCTGAAGCGCATTAAGCAGGCGCCAAAATGTTTAACTTTGAATTGTATCCCCATACGATACGATACAGAAGCATATGTTCAGTTTGCAGTGACCATGTTCTGCCGCTGCCTATTGCTGCGTCATGCATCGGACCATTCAGCAAACATAATTCCCTGCGATTATGGAATGATTTTTTTTTCAACCAACCCCATTCAAATAAAGCCATGGTTTTCTTTCCAATGACTCAGTACATTTGAATTTTGACGCTTACGTTTTCCTTTTTCAAACCTAGTCATGGCAGCTCAATGGTCAGTGCATTTGGCTTTTGAGTTCAAAGCTCAGGCATAGATTCGTATGAAATATCACGACCCCGAGAATGCATATCAGAAAATGTATCAAGCAAGACCAACATTTGATGTATAATGTGCAGGACATTAACAAATACCATGATGTTGTTAGTAACAGCACACCATTTATGTGCCAGTGTCATGGCCGAATAGTAGAATTACTCGTAATTACTGATTCATCAAATTGCCTCTTCCTGAATGCTTACTCAGACTCGAAACATATGTGCAGAGTCAGGAGGTTGGGGGTGGGAGGCTGCAAGTGTTGATACCCGTATTGAGATGTAATTGTGGACAGCTCAACAGTAGCCCCACCCCGTGTAAGCATCATCTGCGGTGTGGCACTAACAGTCAACACCGTGTGCGGAAACGTCACAGAGGCCACAGTGTGACAAAACCTCAGATGGTGTAGGCGCATTAATGGGAGACAAATGATCACCGTCACCTGTTTTAACGAGGTACAGACAAACGCGATCGCTCAGGCACTCGCTCTGTGTCACTCGGAGAGGCTCCACGGATTACCCACGAGTGCAAACGCTTCCCCCAGGACTGAAGTCATGCTGTAAGCTGCCAGAGCGAATTCAGAGGTGGGGGTCGTTGGTGTTTTATCTTCAAGCATACCAACCGTAATAGGAAAGCACTTAAGGGTGGCCGTACACAGTTTCTCATATTAAACTAAAAAATTTTTTGTTTTATTTGACCAGGTAAGGCCCACTAAGCTATATAGCTCTTTTTTCTGAAGCAACCTGGCCACAAATAATAGCCCAATGAAGTGGCTTATAATGTGGCCATTTATAGCAGCCAAACACTCGAAACGCGTGTTTCTAAATGTGGGAGGGGAAAACCTGGAGGACCTGGAGACAAATCCTCGCTACCACGGGTTGTCCTTCCCCCGCGCCTCCGATGAGCACGGTTGGCGAGAGAAGTTCAACATACATGCAGCAGGCCATGTGAATAATGAACGGTTGACACACTCATGGACGTGTGCCTGCCATGCCGCTTCTTTGTAAGCCATGCAAGACAGGTCAATAACGCCCATTAGGGCTGCACCCGTGCCGCTCACTAATATTCGTGATGTAATGCGCACACTGTGATGAATATTAACGCCATTACCACGAGGCAAATACAACTGTAAACGTAGGGGGAAAATTCCTTCCGCAGGCCTCGCCCAAGGCTGCCTCATTTAAACTGCATTCAGAATCCAAGTGCTGATTTGTGATGCCTTATCAACGAGCTGATGTGACGTCAAACTGTGGCGGGTGAAGCACGCTGCTGGTGTGTGGAGAGGTCACAAAACCGCAATTCAGTGGAAAACACTTTGGTTTCACATTAGCAGCCCACGAATATTGCAGGCGGCCAATTAGAGAAGAGACCATTGTGAACAACAATAACGGTTTCCTGTGGAATTACGGCCCTCCAAATAGGAACTTGGAATTTCCATAAGCTGAAGACCACCACTGCAGATGGTGAAGTACCACTGATGTTATCCTTGACTGAGAATCGAACTCAGACGGCTGGGTTCATTGTGCAGGACATAAGCCGCAGCTCTTACCCTCCCCATCAGAGTAATGTGGAATTTCTACCCCTGTTTCACAGCTGGAAACTTGAGATGACTGACACCCTGAGTGGGAAAGCATTTCGTTATTTTTTATATACAGGATAAAAATGTAAATGTATACTCCGTTGCTTTATAATAATATAATTTTAAAAGTCATAGAATGTATGCATAATAATGGATTTAATATAGTTGTCCTGGAGCTAGTTTTAATTGTATAAATCGAAAACCAGTTAGTTGAAACACACGGTTTAGACAGGTTTCCATTACACTGTAACCCGTGGTGTGTTTGTGCTGGTGTCAACCTGCTTTCATATCGTCTGTGTTGTGTACTTGAGTCGTTTTGTTAAGAAAAAAATACTTTTGTGAAAAAGAAAAGTATTCATCGAAGGATTGGAAATCACAGCACCACTCCATTACAATAAACAAAATACAGTGGCAATTGATGTTTGGATTACATATTGGAGGAATGTGGCATGGACCTACGATTGAGTGACATTCAGCTCTCTGATATTGCCTATGGCCAAATTGTCACTCACACAAGCGTCACACGATATAAATGAGTGTTACAGTGCTTATGGTCGCATGGCATTTCTTATCAGCGAATCGTTTGGCAACGTGCGTAGGCAGTAAGCATAGAGGTGTGACGGGTGGGTTGGACGTGATTAACGAAGCATGAACTTTCCATTTGCGTGTGGAAGCCTACACATCATGCAAATGTCACCTTGCTACATGACTTTGAGTTATGGACGTTTCCACAATACATGAATGGTGAGATGTGACGCAATTGGAAATTCACATGTACGTGTTTCAATAATGTAAACTATTAAGGGCATACGTACACAGTTGACGTGTTTATTGGTTAAATAACAACATGCTAATGTGTTATGGAATTGTTTTCAAACACATCCTTGTAGTAGGAAACCTCAGTTACATGAAGAAAGTCACTGATTATTCCATATCTGTTTGCCATTTAAAGTAAAAAAAGTCTCATCCTCAAAACTAACAACAGTTTAACATCTGATAGTAATACTAAGAGGCTGCCGTGGTGTTAATGATCAGCACAGCGGACTTGCAATCCAGAAGCCGCTGGTTCAAGCTCCCAGCGGGGCAGTTGGAACAGTGGGAAGGTTTCTGTTACGGAGAGTTTGAATGCCTCAGCGATGCCAATTGCCTTACATCACATCTGAACTTAACCATTCCAATGCCCGGCTGCAGTCTAGCCAAGGGGATCCCAGTGTCAACTGTCCCTGTGTGGGACAGCAGATGCAAAATAGTCTGCCAGTAAGGGGCGATGTTGCTATGTGGTTATTCCTATTTTTAACGTGAATAACTAATGATTAAATATTAGATTATCCCAGGTATAGTTATTACATTAATTTAAGGACACGATATCTGTGTGGATGGAGACTGTGTATTTGCTGCAGTATGCCCGTATATTCATGGCCAAATGGTTGGTGGTGCCAGTCTTCATCATAACTTACTGGACATCTGTAAAAAAGAGCTTCATAGCTCATCGGATTCCTTCAAGACAAATAAAGATTCTGATTGATTGGTGAGCCTGAGCCAGCGTTAGAATGCCCCGTTCTAGTTAGCACGAAACACCTGTGTTTATTTCAACCACTTCCGATAAAGTGCTACTTGCATTCTAATATGTGCATGTGCTCTTCAGCATTAGAGACGTTGCCTTTTTATGAACATCAAATAATAGCACAAAAGGATTGCACACGTGAGTGAGCAGCTTGAGTGTCATGCTCACGATTGATAGCTTTACTGACGAATTCACAAGTTGCTCGATGATGACTTTTAATGAAGTGCCAACAGCTGAAAAACCTTGGCACAGAGGCCTCACCCACAGTGATTGACATTTGGGAAATTGACATTCAAAGTAAAATGTTGTGGCTGACCCTTTCTCTGCTTGGTTGTTGCTGTGTACAATGCTGGGCTGACATTTCCATAATGAAATGCTTGGCCAGATTCTAACACTGACTCGGCGTTCACTGTACCATGACCTTTAAATATAACCAAATAATATTCTGTTTGCAGAGCATTTAAATTCAATTTCACAATTTCAGTGACGTTTCATTATACACGTTTGAAATAATCACTTACATACTGTGTGTATATACGTATTAAAAAGATAGTGTATAATGTCACACTAAGGTATTGTATTTTATACAAACGTGCATGTATTCATAGATTAATGTTTTATGTAAACATCTCAAGGATTTGCCTGAATTTAAACTGCATGTGTGCAATTGTCAGTTTATATGTATGCAATTTGAAGCGTTCTGTATGAAAACCTGCTTAAATGCAACGCCACTTTTGATTACCGTACAGTTATTAATGTCTAGAACTGATTAAATATTGGATGATAGAACATGAAGTCACGTGTTTAGAATTTGCATGTATGCACTTCGTGGATGTGCGATGTTTGAAATCCACAGAACAATATTGACTCAATGACTTAAGGCTATAAATTGGTCACGGAGGTCACTCTGGCCATGTAAATCGTGAATTAGAAAGTCTGAAGTGAAACATTGGCTGATGAAACACGCGAGATAAGGTGCTTCCAGGATTATACCTGTGGAAAAAAACCAGCCCTGCCAATCAGTCCGCAGAGATACACGCACAGACACAGAGATAGCAACACCGAGATAAGGGGATACATGAACACAATCCTTTTTTAAGTTGTGAAACATGGGGTGGAGGTTGCTTTAAGGTTGGGTGGTAGTGGGGGGGGGACCATGCCACCCGATTTAATAGACTTTATTTTACTTACCATACCACGGCCTTTTGACTAAAACTTACCATTCCAAAATTGTCACCTTACAAAATGAGGTTTCATCATTGGATCGCGTTCATTGAGCCGCCAGATGCTGCTCCACGCCACGCTTCTTTAAGAGTGGATTGTGTGGCATGTTCCATTTTTGAGCTGGGTTAGGTTGGTGAAGTTAAAATTAATAATCTGTGCAATGGATTTTTTCTTCAGCAACTGGCGGCAGACCTGAATTTTAACTACAGTTGAATGTTTTATCGCTGGTGACCACCGAAGAAGCCAGGATTTTAGCCGTGCTGGTTCTTCGCACAAGGTCTTCTGACAATTTACCCCTGAGCCATCTTTTGAGTGCTTCCTATTGAACAGTGGCAAGTTTACTGATTATCTAATTACTGATTATCTAATTAGCCGGCCAGGTATGATGGGAAATCAATTGTTGTTTAGGAGGGAAGATAAGTTTTTCTGCCAGTGCAAGCATCTCACCATGCCTCTTTGTACACTTTTCAGTTATTTTCATTTCATGCTCTCCATTAATGGACATGTTTGTGAACAATATGTCATAGGAGGTAGTCGACGTTGATTAAACAACTTTCTTCTTATGGATATTGGTGGATTATTTTTCATGATTAAGTTCAGATTTCCAAAAGAGCTCCAACCTTTTCTCTCATCCTCATCTTTATATACATCTTGATCTCAATAAGCATTGAATAACTTCCCTATGTATGAATCTTTTGCCGTGTTTTCCACTTGTCTCTCTCAGTTATTTCCAATCGATTAGTGTATTTGTCGCATGCGATTTTGTCTTTTGCTCATATATATGTACAAAAATCTGGAATCCAACTTTGTATGCTTCGTAAAAAAAGTTTTTACATTTCCTCTAATTCCTTGCCATTGGTGTTATAATGACCATGTCATCAGCAAATTTGAGATGGGTAATGTTTTATCCATTTTCATGTATGCCTTAGTATCGCCAATTCACTTGTACAAGACTCAGTAGAAATAAAAGCACGAAGCAAGGCATGAATATATTTATTATTTTACATGTTTTCAAAATTGAAATGCCACATTAAAATTGCATTTAAGTTAGACTAGGTGATACGCTTTGGCCAATGTAAAGATCAGTGAAAATTGCATTGTAAAATACATTTTACCCGTGGCACACCATGGGAAGGGGAGTGGAATCAGCTGTGCAAAAGGGCAGAAAGGGCAAGAGAACCGGCAAATGGGAAGGGATGCCGGGACAGAGAGGACCCGGTTTAAGGTGACCAGCAGGAAGAGAGAAGGAGCACTGGGCATGGGAGTGGGAGAAGGAATGACTCGGCCAAGATGTTGGGGGAAGAGAAGGTGATGAGAGGGAAGAGATGGAGAGATTAGGAGCGAGCATGAAGTAAGATACAGGGGGGAGCGTGTATTTGCACAGGGCGTGGGGATAGGGGAGGGATTTTGAGTCTGAGGGCCACGCACAAGTCACGTGATTCACAGGAGGCTCGGCCTGATTTAAATAAAACTTGAATGTGTAATTTACAGCAATCGTTCATGGCCAACAAAACAGGTGACTACCGTATGCTGCCCGTTATGGGAAGGGGGAGACTTTGACTTTAACAAGAAATTAAAGTTGTCTTGGGCTGGTTTGGCTGCTTGCTTTAGTCAGCATTCTATATCTGTCTCTCTTGTCTCTATGTACCAGGGTCTGATATGCATGCAAACGAATGCCATTCTAGATTTGAAGTTTTCGTGACTGCAAGGATCCATATTCTTTGGTTCTTTCGGTAAAGTCACGTGGGTGAAAAAATAAAATAAATTAAATCGCGACGTTTCGATTGCAACACAAGCAATCATCATCAGGTGTGACAACCACATGTACCCGGGGTCGATATGCATGCAAATGAATGCCACTTGCACATAAATGGTTTCCTGAAATGCCCAATGCTCGCCTTTTTTCTCTTGCTGTGTGTCGTGGTACAGCCTCCCTGAGAGTCAAGAGGCAATGTAGTCCTGAAGGAAATACCATTTGTGAGTGCAAGGATGGAATGTACTGCACATATTCTTCCGAGAACAGCTGCAAACAGTGTTCTCCCCATAAAAACTGCCCGAGTGGAGAGGGCGTTGTCAGTCGAGGTAAGTGTGTCAGGGAAACAATGGCATTGAATGCATGAAAGTTCAACATTCATTTTAACTGACCACAAAACAAAATGCACATTTGTGGAACATAGCCTCATGTTGCGAAAAATAAATACACATTGTAAATACAACCAAGGTCCTCTACTGTTATTAAGAGGTCACTACCCATGTAACTTTTATTTAAAAAATTTCACAGTTCCCAAATCTCATTCATGGGGTCCTGCTGCAGCCGAAATTAAACTCGGTTGCCCTTGCTGGACTCGTGTGTGGTGCTTCCACAGTCAGCTGTAACCTGGTATAATACAGTAGTCATCCAGTGCTGAGCACTGAATCCGAATATTTATTCATACTGGAGGAATCCGATGAGCTATAAAGCATGTTTTTCATAGATGTCCAGTACAGTATAATAGCTTAAACCAGAAACCAAACGTAACCACTTAAAGAGTGGTAAAAGAATATTTTTTCCATTTCATGGAGACTTCCCGATGTATTTATTTTCAAGCCTCTCAGACCGTGCACATCATGCAACAGTTTAACGGGCACGAAGGTGCTGTCACCCGATGGCACGCGTTGTTAGAAAAAGCACGGAACTGATGGGCGACGTTATTTTCTCTGACGTCACAATACCAGGTCGATATTTCATGTCCAGCCCTGATTTTCTGATTCATCTGTAATCGGGTACACCTACATGTTGAAAGTGGGTAGTAGTAGTTATAATAAGGATAGAGAAAACAGTGTGGTTGCTTGGTAACAGGGTCACATGGGTTAATTTGACAGATTTACATCGTTTAAAGCTTTCGTGACTGCAGGGATTCATATTCTTGGTTCTTTCGGTAAAGTCACATAGAAGGGAAACAATAAAATAATAAATATATAAAACAATAAAATTCTCACGACGTTTCGACTGCAACACAAGCAATCATCATCAGGTGTGAAAACCACAGCAAGAAAATTTGAAAAAAGTGGCGTTTTTTTAACGTTAGCACCACGGAGAGCAATTTGACAGTTTGTTCAGATGGACGAGTCCATCTATGTTCAGAAAAGAGGAGGGGGGAGCCGAAAATAATGGATGCGGTCTGAAAGCCACCATAAGCGTGAACAATCAATTAAGACCTGAAATCGTGTATCAAATACTTCCAATGATTGCTAAGCCAGAATCCATCTCCTAATAGCTATTCATTTGCGTGAGGCTTCATGGAAAGAAACCAAAAGAGGACAAGTGAAGTAAGACAAGTAAATACAATGCATCTGCTTCCATAATGTGACGTGAGCAATGTTTTTAATTTAACCAGGACATATGCAATTTGGAATATACAATGCAGTGAAAATATCAAAGTTGGTGCAATGTTCTGGGTTATCAGGACTTTTGTATAAAAATATATATAAATGTTACATCTTGTTCATTTTTTAAAAATGCGTTTAGAGTATTTGGCTGTTATACATTTCCACATGATGAGCCACTTCATTGGGCTATCATTTGTGGAGAGGTTGCTTATGAAAAAGAGCTATATAGCTCAGTGGGGCTTACCTGATGAAAACAAAATAGTTACATGAAAAGGTAAAAATAAGTAAAGTAATAATGTATGACCCTTTGCCAGCCCCGTCCTGGATGAAGGTCTGCCCACACCGTGACAGTCATTGGGGTTAGTGTGGGTTGGGGAAGGGATGTGGACCATTGATGCTCGTCACGCCTAGGACTCAATCTCGGGTCACGGGCTCACAGCCCCTGCACCACCGCCCTGCAACAATTATAATACATGCACAATGCAATACATCACGTTAACCTGTAGCATGGGAATTAAATACAGGATTTGTAATGCCCTGATACAAAGTGCCCGAGGTGATTGTAACAAGAATAGCAATTTAACTTAAGTGGTAAGATTCTCAATAGGGATCTTTTACACTTTCTCACAATCTCTCAGGGACCCGGATAATGAATACAACTTGCAAGAAATGTCCGAAAGGCAGCTTCTCCAACAAGAATTCAAAGACGGAGCCATGCCAACCACACTCCCGGTGGGTATAACGAACGCTTCGCTAACCCCAAGGCTGAGGCTACAAATGTCTGTGCCTCAGCCTCCCGTGTTACAAAGGCCTTGAAGAAACACAAACTGCATTGGCAAACGTGGAGCCCGTGTTTGTTCGAGAGCAGTAGCATCCTCTTGATTGCGGCTCGTACAGCACAGGCTCGTGTGAAGAATAATTCGTCTGTGCAACACTTATTGATTACACAAAATGATGTAATCCCAAAAAAGTATGACATGGATATTTTGTTGCGATGTGTTTTTTTTGTTCAAGCTCTAAAAGGGGCATTCATATGAGCAAAGATTAATTACCAAGAAACCGGCTTTAGAAAGCTGGCTGTGGCCATCATCATCAATCAACCATGGTCAATTAACTGCTGGATAAATGCCTCTCCAATCCAGCACTATCTCTCACAACCCTGTGATATCATAAGGCTCTGATCACTTTATCATATGTTATATGATATGACTGCTGGGAATTTGGGCCATAAATCTGATTAATTATGTTGTAATAGTGAAGACTTTTAAATATATATTTTAAACCATTCACCATTATATGGTACAAAGTTGGTATTCAACTGCCAAATATTTGGCAATACACACCCTCAGCGTAAAGCACATTAACACCACATTTTTTTACAATCAAAACATTTAACTACTACCAGAACCCGCTTTATTTACATGGTGCAAGCTGACACATTTTGCATAAGGTTAAACAGTTTCAGATGTCTGGGAATGCCCCACTACTGCATTTTTATCCTGAGTGTATATTTTGCCAGTAGTGATGTTCATGTGCCAGGTGTGATTTGACAGTTTGCATGTAGCTGTGCAGCAATAACTATGTAAATAAATACAGCCACTTGGTTCAGGGTACATGTCCATCCTATCCACAGCACTGCGAGTGACCTCCAGGTATTTGGGATCATCACAGCTCGGTGTGGTGTGAGCAGCAAAAGTAGAATATTAATGTATTCCTCTGACCTACATTTCTATGCAGATTAATAAACAAGGTACACATTTATTTTCTGGTAGGTTGTGATAAATACACGTGGGTGATTGCTCAAGACTGCAGGTTAATCATCTTTGGTGAGGCCCACTGCAGGCTTTACACATGGGCTGCTACCACTTCAAGCTTAATTATGGCCTCTGAAGTTGTCCAAAACAGTCAAAATAAAAGTGTTTCCACACTCAGTTGGGTAATGGGTTGAGCTCGTGGCCATAAACTACCATTGGACGTTCCACTTTTTTATGGCAGAAGGCATTCTCTCGGTCTGACCACTCATAACTTGCCATATATTGGTATATATTTAATCGACCTGGTAGGGACAAGAGACTGTCAACCCCGAACTGGGATTTGAACTCATTATATTTTAGTTGTGGGATGAGTACTGTGCCATATTAGTTCTGCACAAATATTTAACGTGTAACTAATGCAGTGGCAGAGGAAATGCTATGTGTGGTCCTTTATTAAATGCTGAGGTAGGGTATTTGAAATACTGAGCCTATGTGGCTCATTAGTTGGACCTATGCAATGCCTTTAGTAAAGGGACAATGCCATGTTTCAAACGCAAATTCTGTCAGGATTATTTACACCTTATTCTTGTCATGAAAAATGCTTCAGTGAATAGAGAATAGGGATTATCCATTAACACCCCGCAGGCCAATATAGTGACTACACATCGCATGCAGTGCCCTACTGCTCCTTCCAAATGCCAAATATTGAGCAACAGCAGAGTGAGATACCCATGGGATCTTGCTTAAATTATTCGCCTTAAGGAGATGGTGGGAATGGTGTGGAGGCGGGCATTCTGGATGCACCATAATACTGTAGAGGGGATTGGAAATTGTGCTCTGCATTCTTATCTCACAGGCAAAGACATCGGATTGCGAAGGCATTAGCGCACTGATTCACTCAACCACCCTTCTGAATGGGATATATAATTGCACAAGAGGTCTATTTCTGAGCAATCTATCACAATTCTGATGCTAATTATTATTTTGAGTCATATTTTATGTAATTGTACGTTGAACAAGGACCGATTTCTTGAAGCGAGGGACCTTACATTTAACGTCTGGCGGTTCACCAGCATTGATTCAACCAAGCCTAACCCTGCTGATGAGAACACTGAGTGTCAAAACCGATCCAGAGTGTGCATGTCCTGAATGAATGCGCCTGATATGATTAATGTCCCAGAAGGATCTGGAGTCAACGTGGTTGTGTAAATAATTATTTAATATCTCAACGTGGGCAGACATATGAAAGGCAACATATGCATTCACACATTTTTATTATTAAAATCATGTGACTGTAATAATTACTTTCATCTGTTTCTCGTGTTTGTCAATAAAATGATATATAAATGTGATGGTATAATTTTTTTTACATATATACAAATTCTGGAACAATTTTAGGCACTGACCAATCAGGTGGTTTAAAGCTTTCGTGACTGCAAGGATCCAAACTCTTTGGTTCTATTCGGTAAAGTCACGTAGGTAAAAAATAAAACAACAAAAATCACGACGTTTCGGCCACAACACAAGCGGCCTTCATCAGCTGAAGGGACGAGACTGCCACAACACAAGCGCTGTCCTCGAGACAGTCTCGTCCCTTCACCTGATGAAGGCCGCTTGTGTTGTGGCCGAAACGTCGTGATTTTTGTTGTTTTATTTTTTTACCTACGTGACTTTACCGAATAGAACCAAAGAGTATACTGACCAATCAATGCATATATTCGGAAGGATGACAATCGTGTTCTGTACCTAAAATATAACAAGCTACATGCTCTTGGTTATTTCGGTAAAGTCACGTAGAAAGAACCAAGAATACGAATCCCTGCCGTCACGAAAGCTTTAAATGAATGAATAAAAAGCTACATGCTGCGTATGTTTCGTGGCAGATGTGAAGCAGGTGTGCAGCAAGCTGGGACAAGCAAGGCCGACGTCATTTGTGCAAGTTCAAACACGACAGGAGTCCCAGAAAGTAAGGAATCCCAAGTATTTAGCCGATAGCGACTGACAATATGCGACAATGTACATTTACTTAAAAATGTCACGCGTTGATGTCTGTTCCCAATCAACGGTCGTATGGCTTCGAGTAGACTTCACCTCCAAGAGGTGTACTATAAATAGCACTGTCTAACTCTCATTTACGTGAAGCTTAATTCGAGTTGAGGTTTTCGAACATCTCACCTTATATGATGGCTAACCAATCGTGCCTTGTGGTAGGCATTGAAATACTGTAGGAATCTTCTGGGTTCTTTCGGTAAAGTCACGTAGAATGGAGATAAAATAATAATAAAAAATAACAGAATAAAATTATGTTCCTCCGACAGCTTAAAAGACGCTGCCAAGCTTGGCAGTGTTCACTAAAGCGCTGTCTTCCGGACAGTCCTGTTTCTTCACCTGAGGAAGGCTACTTGTGTTGTGGCCGAAACGTCGTGAGAATTTTATTCTGTTATTATTTTTGTATTATTATTTTACCTCCATTCTGCGTGACTTTACCAAAAGAACCCAGAAGATGAATCCCTGCAGTCACGAAAGCTTTAAATCGAAATAAATACCTGTAGTAAGAGTCACGTTGCAAAGTACTCTCTTATAACGACAGCAAATGTTAATTTTTATTTTGGTGACTGCTTTATTTATATTTCAGATCGAGAGATAAAGATGTGACCTTCGTCTAGGCCATTGATGCCAACATATCACACCATTGCTTCCCAGCTTCTGCTGGATATAGGTGTTGCTATCTCTTCCTGATTCCTCTGCGTCTCTTGCCTTCTCTCAGTCTCCACTCCCTGGTTAATGTTATCTATTTCTCTCTATTCAGCTTTTCTTATGGTGTGCGTTGCCCATTTCCACTTTGTTTATTTTGCTTCAGCAACAACTGGGACGTGCTTAGCGAGTCATTTTATTCTAGATGTCTGCAATTATTTCACATTCCAGTGATAGGAATATCAGTGTCATTTCATATATGAGCCAAGACATTAGGCTGAGTTAGGCATTACCTTGGTCAAAACAGATATACGGAGCAGTGTGGCCACATCATGGATGGATGTGGTGCTTGTTTCACCACCTTATCGTGTTGTTAAATGTCCATTTGCCATGCGTGTTCATGCTTATCAGCGTTATATGGGTGCTAAATGCCACCATTTGGCAAATGTTTAACTTTTCATGCAAGACAATGTTTGCATAATTTCATATTGCAAGAAAACATACATGCAGATTCGAGATTTATTGTGAGCACACGGACAGTTGTCTAACCACGTGACAGTGGCAAGCACTCGACCGACAAAATGGTCGTGGGTTGAAAATCGGAAGTCGACTCATACCATTATCCTCCAGGGCCAACAAAATTACTTTTGCATTGGGAAGTGAAGTGCCCTAAAGCATCATAGTTATGGAGAGACTGTCTTCCACCATAGGAATGTGGAATTTCCATCACCACTAATTTATGGCTATCAGTGGTATTGAGTACTTCCCGAAGCTCATTGCAATTTGACGATTTTTTTTTATATTGAGATGATGTCATTGCCACATTAATAATTCCGTATATTTTGCATGTGGTTTTACAGATGTAACTCAAGACGCTGGTGACAATCCAGTGATTTGTCGGGAAGGGTCGTTTTGTGTGGAGAGTGGCGCTGTGCATGGCAGCTGTCTGCGCTGTCAGGAATACAGCGTCTGTGGCCCTGGCTTTGAGGTCTCCAGTCATGGTGAGATGCGGCTCCATGCCCTAGAACTGTGCTCGCAGTGGGCTACTTTTTTTTACAGATAACCAAAAAAACACATTGTGGCCCTTAAAGAATATATATGTAGCGTCAACGATTCAGAGACAAGAGTTTCTGGGAGGCTCCTTCTTTATTAACAACTTCACGGTCTCGTCCACACACTCTCCACGGTCACTTAGCCTAGCCTGTACACAACACTAGCCGTCTAACACTGACGGCGCTGACCGAGATAGCCAACTGCTCTCCTTCGTAGCGCAATGTCTAGCGGAGACGTTTAGCGACGACGGCGACGAGACGACAGCAACGACGAGACAAGACCTTTCCCAGCGTGGCCTGGCTCCGCCCCTGACCACGCCTCCTTTCTCGAACCCACTAGCAGGTTCCAGGGGCCTCCACATGGGGTCCTTCGTGACCCTTGCCCTCCTCTCTGCCCACACACCGTACACACCCTCACCGGCGTGTGTACTGTCTGTCCATCACAGTTGCCGCTGCTGTCCACCAGTCGGCGCTATAACACTACACATGTATAACAGGCAACGTTTTGGGCAATGGCCCTTTCGGCATAGCACATGGAGAATGTCCGCTACAGGGACATTGCCTTTTCCATTTAAGGCAGTGTGATATTAACGAATGTGTTGAGTTTTTTTATTGTAATTGTGCAACACTGCAAATGCAGTATCACAAATGTCGCCATTAAAATTGGTTTTATTACTGACAACTTGCAGTTTTTAGCAGTAGTAACGTGATCACATGCATGCGGTTTCAAAATCGATATAATTTGCTGACTTAATAACTTGTATGATCACTTTCTTCAAATTAACAAATATGGTCTTACTTTGATGTAGCCTTGGTAATAATAGCACGGCACTAAAGTTGTTGGCTTTGTGACATGATCGAGGTGGAAAGCATCTGTCATAGCAATCAACCCTGGTGTGTTAGAATGACACTTAATAGGTCGTAAGCATGGTCTATACTCATGGGTTTCTATTCTCAAATTAATCCAGTCAGCAAATACACAAATCTTTCTATTATTACGTTTTCATATTTGTAAAAAAAAATTAAATACATAGTAATATTACAAACAAGTCCAATGGAGGAGACCAGGTGGCAATGCAGATCCTGGGTTCGAATCTGGGCAGCCACCTGTGATTAACCTGGATTCTGAAGTGTAGTGAGTTGATAGTCCCAGTTCAATACTAATACCCACCATTCGCCACTAAGTGGTGGTGACGTCACCACGGCGCCTGTGCCAGGCCAGGTGCACTTTGAGGCCACGTGAAGTGTCGAAGGCCTCGCTGACAGGAGGTCTTGGGACAGACCCAGGAGCCATCGGTTTGGCTGACTGAGATGATTGGTAGATGCACACCAGCTGTACCCCCTACTGTGCCCACTTGCAGTATTTTAGCCACCCAGCGCAGTCACCAATTCACACACAAACAAGTTGAGGTTTCACTTTTTTTTCACCTACGTGACTTTACCGAAAGAACCAAAGAGTATGCTTTCACTTAGTTTGACTAGATTCTAGATTTAACAATTAGACATAACATTTTTCCAGAATAAGGTGTGTGTGAAGGTGCTTCCTCTCGTGTGTGAATGCAAAAAAAGGTCACTTGAATGGAGTTTCAAAAGCACTTCTATAGTATCTGCTTCCACGGGCTCTTCTCTAACACAGGTTATCCAGTGCTTTGCAAAATTACATTTAGCCACGTGGTCTCGTGACTTGATAGCAATAGGACAATTGGAATACAATATGTAAGAACATTTTCTAAAATAACCGCTGGCTAATCTTATTACACAAATGTATAATATGAAATAACCAGTACTTGCCTTCTTCAGTACTGTATTCTGATTAAAGTAGCACGTTACTATTAATACATTACTCTCCAACACTGGCCAAATTTTGTGTCAAAGTACTGATCCAATTAAGCTGAGGTCCTTTGTTTTAATTAAGAACATCAAACTCAATGCACACGCGAATCGGCCTTGTAGTGGGCTGCTATCTAAGGCTCGTCTAAAATCTCATCATTGCGACTCATTGATCTGACAAAGTCAATATCGCTTTCCTTGAGCCAGCGAATTCACAATCGCTGCAATAATGGGTTTGATTCTCAAGCATGCAATGCAAGGTCTCTTATAAATGAGCCGAGACACTATGCTGCGCAGATCGAGTGTGTCATCTCTGCGGAGAAAAAAATATAAGTGTTTGCCAGTCAAGAGTGAAACTGAGCAGCTCCTGTTATCCGGACGGACTGGAGCATTTCTTTTCAGCAGCTTTCACTTTGCCTAGACACTGGACTTAGGCCACGCTGAGATGAAAGTGGCATTAATTTATTCCGTGAGAAGGCTTATCCGGAGCTGAGTGGTCTCGGTGTGTCATGCATGTTGGAAAGGTTAAGGAGAAAGGTGACTGACTATAAGTGGGTGCTCACATTACAACACCTTTTCCAACTTGCATCAGGTGTGCCAATATGAAGACACACGCAACTATGAGCTTTCCATGACACGTAGTGTGTGACATCTGTTGCAGACAAACCGTATTCAAAAATTATATCCCCTGGAATACAATGCAATAGCATGTAATTTAATGCCTTGTATGGTCAGGTACAAGCATTATGCTTGATACATTACATGATGAGTGTGAAGTCAAAGCAAATTACTTATTTACAAAAAATGCTTTAAATGAGATGGGAACCAATTGAGATCTGGTCTTTTGTCTTCAACAGAGCTTTGAGTAAAGAAAAGGGCAGATGAACAGTCATTAATTATTCATAATTTGTGGGGGGTTTATTTGAAACATCAGTTGTGACATTGGCACAAAGCAGTCAGACGCTTGTGAATCATCACAGCGTTCATTGTCCTCTCTACAGATGAACAGTCATTAATTATTCATAATTTGTGTGTGTTTGGGGGGGGGGATATTTTAAAATGCAGTTCTGACATTGGCACAAAGCAGTCAGATTCTTGTGAAACATCACAGTGTTCATTGTCCTCTCTACAGCAAATGTTAGATTTCATTTTCTTTGCTGATGCCTTTCAGTTACAAGACTGTTGTGATAACTAAACTGTCAAGCGTTATGTAATTGCCACTGGCTCAGTGGTGGTTAACTGCTGACCACTATTCTTTTGACCAATGCAGTTATAAATAAATCGTTGTCTCAAGAATACAGCCGTAACTGTAAATCACAAAACTGCACACGACCATCTGCACAATATCAAACAGATCGCCCCAAACATCTACATGAAGGAGAGGTAATTCCTTGAACGTGCATTCATAACCTCACGGCTAGATTACTGCAACTCCCTACTTTTCAGCGTACCTCAAACACAGCTACAGTTTTCAACCTCCAGAAATCATCCCACATCACACAAAACTCTAAAAAAAAACTTAAACTGGCTCTAAATCATATACAGAATACGCTTCAAAATAATCCCATTAACATACAAAGAAATACACAACCAAGCTCCACCTTACATCAGACACCTCATACAGGTCAGGCAAAACAACCAAACGCGTCGTCCCTCATTCCCAACACCCTTCCAACCACCAAAACACAAACACACAAACCACGTGGTTGGACAGATTTTTCTCATTTGCAGCACCACACCTCTGGAACAACCTCCTCGAAGCAATCCGCACGCTCGACTCCATCATCACGACATTCACGTCACAACTCAACAACAACAACACATCTCTTAGCACTTGCATACAACAACAGCCACAACTTGTGATTATCTTTTTGTTAATTTAAACGACTATAGTATAGATGTTTGTCATTGTATAGAATGTTCTATTTTTATATTTGAATATTAATACGACGATAGCACTTTGTGCCAGAAAGGCGCTGGTGTGTAAGCAAAAAAAATGTATTTACTTGACTTCAATCGATCAATTTTCAGATTTATGTGCCAATATCGCCCTCTAAAGAGTAGGCATCAGTGCACATTACAGCAGAACGGGAACGGTGCAGCAGGGGGGCAGAGAGCAACAAGAATTATAAAAGAAACGCGTCACGCCCTAAGCGGCTAACACCGCCTGAGCAAAGTAAATTACAACCGCGTGAAAATAAAGTGCAACCGTGCACAACGAACAGCATAATAAAGATAAGTAGTAAATGAATAAAAATTAATGAAATGTAAAGAGACAGTTTTTATTTTATGGGAAGGCACGTCTGCATAGGTGTGGCGTGCACAAGTCCACGAGTTGTACATAACTTCGTTAGTCCTTTAATTCTGTTGTTTCGTGTGTGTAGATATACTATCGCCCAAGGATGTTACGATTGATTTTGTTTTAGGAGTGTCCTGCGTTGAGATACTTGGCCATATCCTTTTTAGTGAGTGTTTTGCAATTATCCGAATAATGTTTGAGAGCTACTTATGTAATGTGACAATGATGTCCTTCTCCGCACTGCCGATTAGCACGGATGGCTACGTATTGTGCGAAATAGGTTCAACATGCATACATACAGGTCTGCAGAGGCAGGTTATGAACCTACTTCCTGACATGGTCACTGCACAGTTGAGCTTATTGGGAATTTCAGAATGCTTGATGAAATAATAATAATCATAATTTAGTTCATTTGGTATTCGTGCCTCTCTTATTCCGCAGGCTATCACAAAGGTCCTGTGCTACAGAAAGAAATAGCCTGCTAGTAGCGGCTGATGTAGCTGTGTGGTGTTACCCAATTAAGTAAACCGCTTTATATTGCGGCCCTGTGTCTAGATCTCTGGCTTACAGGCTTGTGTTACAGTGACTGAAATAGCGAGAAAAAAATGGCAGAAATATCGTTGTTTTCATTTTCTCTCGGACTGAGAAATATGCAGCTTATATATTTTTATTTAACCTAATAAATACAATCATATGAAACAGTTTTCACGAGTATGTGTTTGATCCACAATGGAATGTTACATAAATAATGAATTTGTAAAATACATATTTCTTGACTGACACTTTTATACGGAAGTAATTTACTACCATCTGATGTCTTTCTACAGGAACAGAGTCTTCAGATGCACAGTGCAGGCCCTGTCCATCTGGGACCTTTTCCAACACCACGTCCTCAGTGGAGACATGCATCCCTCACACAAAGTAAGCCTATCACCTTTCAAAGAACAAGTCATACCATAACATGGTGTATGGGTTTTTTCTTATTTCATAGGCAGCAGGCTCCCAATCATGAGTTCAGCTCCCAGCCATATCAGCATCAGCATCTGTACCACCAGCATCACAAACACCAGTAACACAACCTGCATAAACAAAGACAACGATCCCCATATAGCCGAGACAGACTGTGGGGACGCCTGTCATTAGCGAGCACCTACGCAGATTGGCGACAATCCCCATCAAATCAATTATCATAATGGGTTATTTAAAAAAAAATACAATGAATAAGACACAAAGCAAATTTAACGACACATGACCTTATATTGCTGAGGTATGGCTCGAGTGTAAAATGGGGAAATAAGTTAATAACTACTTTAATAAATAATCAGATGTAGAAAACATTTTGATTGTATTATCTAATAAGAACTGTTATACTTCTTAAGTGAGTATCAAATTCTGTAGAATGATTTATATTGTGCTAGGACAGTTTTATCTGGCCACCTTGCAGTAATGCTACGATATAAAAGTATTAAAAAAATGTGAATTTATCATTCACAAAGTGTGCACAATGGGTCTTCATCACAAGCGTACTTGCTAGGTCCAATGGAAAAACTAAACCCCCCCCCCACGCCCACCATGAGAATGTGGAATTTCCAAAACTGTGTTAGGGCTTGGCCTTCCCACGTGTATTTGAACGAGGGGAAACACACTCTGATTTTACTTACTTGCAACAGGTTTGGAAATTACCGTAATTTTTAATGTTTTTTTATTTATTGAGGCATATTGCGGGCCCGTTACAACACGTTGTGACGCACGTACACACCGTCAACATTAGCCAAACCGGTTATAAAAATCATGGGATAAAAAGATGGGGAATGGGCTCGCTGCCCCAAACCATATGGGGTCCCACTCAAAGAGGAAAGGGTTACTTTTTTTTTAAGTAAGCCGGAAGGGTTGACAAGGAGGGAGACAGAAGGGTATAACCAAAACACACATGACATAAAGAAAATAAAGGCGACCTAAACGAGCATATTTTCATTGTAAATTACTGTACTTAATGAGCTAGTCAATGTGAGCAACAGGACTTCAGAAGAAGAAAAAACAAGGAGTTCTCACAGGAACTTTGAAAGTGTGTATGCTCCCCGCTGGGAAAACGATGTGCGTTACTCTCTGTGCTGATCATTGCATTCATGTTCCCCAGCTGCTCCAGCCTAGGAAGGGATCTTCTTATCCAAGGAACCACAACCACTGATGTCACCTGTGCCGATTCCTTTTCAACCACCCGGAGGACAGATTTAATTCCGACCATCAGTGGTGGAGCAGTGCCAGGGCAGCCTTCAAATGCGCCAGGTACGAGTGTGGTTTGCGATGCTGTCGCAGTGTAACGGTTAGCACACTGGACTAGGAATCTGGAAATTCGACCATTCATCCTATGTATTCATGCAGTTGAAACAACGGTGCGCGTTTTTTAAACCCCCCCTGCCTCTGTCCACCCAGCCTTATAATAAATGGTTAATGCCAGTTAGTCAATCTGCAGGTCACAGCATGTGGTGGTGTAAAGCGTGTCGTGTGTTTGCCTTCTTTTCTGGGGTGGAAGAAAAATATGTTTGAGAAGGACTGTCTACAACTGTCTCTTGTGGAGGCCCTTTTGTATTTTGTATGTATGTTGAACTTCTTTCGCACCGTATGTGGCCAAGTGTGCTAATCGGAGGTGCGGGGGAAGGACAACAAACTAAACACAAAAAGCGATTCAAAATAATTCAGTTTTCAAAAAATTAGTTTTCGATCTTCTGCCAGCAGTGATGTGAGCGAGCAAACTTGTTGTGGGCCCCGCGAGTTGCGTTTTGTGCCCCTTCACACTTTGCACCGTCAACAACTGACCGCCGCCTGTGCCCCTCTCTGCTCAGCCGCACCGGGTACGGCTTTCGTTCCCACCACCGGTGGAGCGGTGCCAGCGAAACCTCCAAGTGTGGCAGGTAATGAGTGCCGGTGGCCCCCGTAGTTCACACTCTGTGCACCCGCAGCCACCCCTCTGTGCTCCGTTGTTATTTTTGACGCGTATTCCGTTTTTGTGCGTCCGTTTGTTGGATTCTTTTTACAAGCCTTCTTCGTACTCTTTGGATGCTGGCGGTAAGGTCGCGTCGGTATGAAATTAAAATAAATCACACGACGTTTCGGGCGCAACACAAGCGTCCATCATCAGGTGGGAAGGCGTGGCCTGCTGCTGATGCAGACTGTTTAAAGGTTTGAAATGGTTGTGGCCTAAGGGTTATAAAGGAGTGGCTGGGTCTAGTGATGTTAAAGTGAGAAATTAGCATGTAACTAGGCACGGAAGTAGCTATGATGTAGATTTCAAATATCTTGCAATTTTATCTGCAATAGTTTTACTCCTCCCGAACGAGAGACCAGTTGGACAATGAAGACGATTCGCTTAATGTAATTTGAAGACTATGTTTTTTTGCAAATATATGCTTCACGTACTTTTCATATATAATGTACAGTATTTAAATATAATTTTGCCTCACGTCCTCTGACACTATGCAGGGCTTCTCCCTTATGTTATGGCGCCACTTATTGGCGCCAATTTGTCAATGCCTGTAGTGTGACAGGGGGAACGAGTGTCCTGAATGCTACGTGCACAGTCCATTGAAGTGAACAACTCATGATGAAAAACATCTTATTTTACGCTCGGCTTCATAGCAGCTGTTTCTCATCAATTTTGCCACGAGTGGGTCTGCGTGCACCACGGTCTGGCAAAGTTGCACCACGGTCCAAGAAAAGTTGCAGCGCTTGGGCTCGCCGCTCTCCAGTTCAGTGCAGATTCAATGTGATAGCAGTGCACGTGCTGTGAATTCGGGCTGATCGTTGGCTACAAAGAGGTCGTTTAACCTCCCGTGCAATCAAAATGTACACCACCAACTAACCGATTGGCTTTGGAATAGCAATACAGTGGTTTTTTTTTTTAACCAAGACACAAGCAATGGCACACAGTGGAGATAGCCAATGTTGTGCACTCAAGTGACAGTGATGCGACAGTGAAGAAATATAAGTAAATGATATCGGTAATGCAGTAGTATCTACATTTTAATTGGGTTTTATTATGTAAGATATTTCAAGTCAAAATACCTTTGCTGTTTACATTGTGTCGCTATGTATCTCATATAAATACAGGAGGAGCAAGCAAACATTTATGAGAATGGTATACTGTATTGGGTCACAATTATCCGGCAGACTAATATTTCAAATTCCATCTGCATCTACAATTCATACAGTATGAAGGGTCAATTCATGTTAAGGGTACAACAATGAAGTGTAAAGTGTGAGTCTTTAACTTACGTAACTTGATTTCAGATGTGTTCAACCATATATAATATCTGGCCAGGTGTTTCTATTGCAGATTAACATCTGAAAGGTTATGAGTTTTAACGAGTCAGGGGGAAAACTCAGCTGGGGTCAATACAATGAGTACTCTTTTATGGTGCACTCCTGCAAGACTGTCTCTGCCAAGTGAGTGTGGAATTTCCAGCACAGGCTCAGGGATATAAAATACAACTATAAACTATGTTTAATTTTAAAATGGTAAGGCCCACTGAGCTATATAGTTATTTTTCAGAAGTGACCTGGCCACAAATCATAGCTCAGCGAAGTGGTGCAGCCATATACTCTAAACGCGCGTTTCAAAATGAGGAGGTAAAAATTGGAGGACCTGGAGAAAAATCCACGTGACCATGGGGGAGAACATGCAAACTCCAAATATCCAGACATCGGGGTCGGGATCGAACCCACGACCTCCTTACATAGCAGGCAAGGCAGGTACCATCTCGCCACCATGGCACCCAATGGAGATGAGCACTACCACGCGCTCATATGAGCAAGGAGCCATTGGATGTCGATTTCGGCCTTAATCTCGATTTAGTGAATTTGAGACAAAGTGCTGCACTTGTGCGAGGCAACTCTTTTATTATTTTATGATTTGTGCTCGTGTGACCAGGGCCATGTAGTAAAGCCAGCTAAGCCGTGCAGCCAGAGTGATGTGTGTGGGTGTATGCTTGATGCGGAGGCTTTGGCATATATGCCTGGGGTTAGTTGCTGCCACTGCTATGAATTAAATCATCTGTCTCCTGCGTCTTGTCTGACGTGTACGCTAACGACTAGATTTCACTCGGGTGTTCGCACGTCGGAAACACCGTGTAATGCTGGCGTCTCAATGGGCTGCTACTCCATCCACACTTGTTCTCTTCTCAGCCGAAACAATCGCAATTGGAGGAGGTGTTTTTGTGATCATTGTCGTCGGCATACTGATCTACAAGTTCTTCAAGAAACGAATGGATAATGAAAGTGAGCTACCCATGTGTGCACACTTGAACTCATTTCACAACCGCCAACACCCTGTCCCTACCCTACCCTTCTGTTTGAATTTGATTAAAAATCGTCTGACGAGAGAGTACAACACTTGGATAGCAAGTTATTGACATGAGCGGCTGTATATATATATACACACACTTGTGTACTATATATGACATTCGTACTTGAAAAGTTGCACGAAGAGGATGCTGCAGCCCAGGTGGATTGGTTCGCACCATGGAATTGCAACCTCGACGTTATTGGTTTGATCTATCACTGCAGGAGTTGAAACGATGGTGCGAGTATTTTTGTTTTGAAATTTCTATTGTAATCAGTGTGAACACCAAGGACAGAATGCATTTGCCTTGGCCTGGAGGTGCTGCCTCAGGTAATCAAAGCCTGTGGCGGCAGCCAGGCTTGTGCCAGTAAGATATTGAAAAGTTATCCTAATACATGGCCACCCATGGATTATGTAACGTGTTCAAATATGCAGCATAGACGTCGAAGGGCAGCATTCAGGGCAAAAATTGCACACATTTACAAATTCCTTTTTACATTTTTTAGATGTCACTGGATGTAGGCAACCCTTTGATCCTTATGGCTGGCTTTCTATTGGGTAAATCCTTGAATGGAACGTTACCGTGACCCCCATGCTGCAGACAGACGAACAGACCAGACGGACAGACACCCAGAGCTAATATAATTCAGATGTACAGCCTTAGATTGGAAAGCTTTCAAAGGGTGCATATTCTAACGCTAGGCAATTTGTGTTCAGATCGCTAAATTCATGCATGAACTAATGAAATGCTAACCATTTGTTAACATGGGTTTTTTTCACTTTTAGAAAATGGAATATACATCGCCATGGAAATGGTACGTAAAGTTGCAAAGAGTACAAACAGACGTGTAACTGCAATTTTTTTCACGCAGTATTATAAGCATCAAACGTGTACATTTCTTTGCACAACATCTGATTAACTGCTGGAAAGGAACATTTTACTTTTGTGACAGTAATATATTAAATATTATTATTGATAGTGTACATTTGGTGCATGTATTTAATAGTATGTTTATTTCCCAATGCACAAAGAAATGCACGCAACGCCTGTGTAATATTTAATGGCACTTCTGAAAAGTGCACAAGTAATTCAGCAATACGGACGAGCTGAGTAAATATGATGGCAATCACCTGCGAATTATTGCAACCAATGGCAATAATAGACATTTATGCCCTAACCACACAACATTACAGTTGCATGTGTAAAATAAAATCCTGGCAATCGGTTGACTGATCTGTCATACCTCTGAGATTGATGACATGAGTGTGACTTTGGGTGAAGCCATCAGTGGTTGTCCTGTAAAGAACATTCACAACTGGCTCCGGACTGAGTTATAACAGGGCACATCCCCATTCCTCATTTGAGCAGGGAGACATTTTGATTTTGACAATCAAAAAGTGTTGTAGTTTTTTACATGTTTTAAGACAAAGGAGGCAGACATGGTATTGATGACAAAATAGTCATGTTTACGGTAGATGGAAAAGAAAGTCATGATGGCCATGATGACTTGTTGACAGCAGAATCTCACATACATTTATAGGATCGCTGACAGGCGTATCTTGTTATTTACTAAATTACTCCATGTCCAAACAGCAGCTTGATGGCTCCATTGTTTGAAATGCAAAATGGATAGGAAAGCCGCCATTCATCTCATGCTGAGACCCTGTCAAAGCGAGCCTCACACTGCCCATGCCAATTGGCCGGCTGTGGAGCTTTCGACTGATTAGTGGAAGCACAGGGGTGTTCAATGGTAATTGGCCGAGAGTATTTTGAGGGCAAAGACCGCCAAAACTCAAAGAGGGAGAGTGTGTTGGTTGAGGGCAGTTCGTGTAACTTTTAGCTTTTTATAATTAGATTGAATTTATTTCAACAGGAAGGACCCAATGATTGGTGGTTAAAGTGGGAAAGGTAGGGGAGGTGTCGGGAAAGAACCCAAAAGAGGATACAAGTGACGGGAACGATCGCCTGTCATGCCTTAGTCGAAGCCCCCCTACGACCGCTTATTCTGTGACGGTGAATCAAAACAGCCAGTCATCGTGCCGGACGCCTCGTCACAGACATCTCAATCCTCTTTCAGCAGAGGCCCAGGATTCCCATGGAGCAGCAGCACTTTCGTAACATGGGCGACGAGGGGTACGCGGTGGTGGCCCGATGGCCGGGGGAGGAGCCCCCGCGCATCGAGCGTAACGTGGCGCTCAGAAGCGACGACGGCCGCCCCCCTCTCCCCCCCCTGCCGCCGGTGGCGGCGGAGGAGCCCCGGGTAATGTCCACATACGAGAAGGATCGGAGAGACAGTGGCCTGGGCAGCGGCATCATGAATGGTGGATTAGTGGACGAGGACACGCACAGCAGCTGCTACAACAACCTGTCGGGTGGCAGCGGTCGGACGGCGTCGTCGTCGTCGCCGCTCGACCAAAAGGAGAATAACTTTCCCCCAATGAAACAAAGCAGCATTGAGAACGATGTCTTTGCAGGTGAGCACATCGTGTGAGTGTGTCTGTTGAATCGGAGGTGCGGGGGAAGAACAACAAACTTGCGTGATGGCATAGTTGTACTGCCTGACCCACGATGCTGAACGTGACGACTGAAGAGCGAAGATCGAGGAGATGTAGCACGGCGAGTTGATTCCAGAAGACAGCCCGGATCGGCGCTCGGGACTTCCCTTTTATGCCCCTGAGCGTGGCCTGGATCCGCCCTAGGCCACGCCCCCTTCTATATCCTACTAGAAGGTTCTGGGTCTTATGTCACGTGTCCCTCTCGCCAACCCTTGCCCCCCCTCGCTACCCTCTCCTGGTCACGTGCCCTCTCGGGTTCACCAAGACTGTCATGTCCTGAAGTGCCCTCTCTCTGGCCGTCACCAGAAGCATGCCCCCCAGGGCCTGCTTCTATGCCATACACACTCTGGTGCCAGAGACGCTAACTTGGGCAGTACCACTCTTCTTCCAGTGGCTGGCGCTAGACGCTGTAGTAACTCAATATACATCACTACACATAGGATAACTGCCATTGATTTTCAATAAACTGGTACTAATTTAATGACCCTGGAAGAATGATGGGCTGAGTTGACACCGAACTAAGATTTATCATCGATATACAATAGTTTTTTTTTACCTGATACAGACACCCTGCGTCACTTTTTAAATTATTTGCGTTCTTGACATGGAATTAATTCTTATTTAAGGTATCCAATGTCTTGTCTTGCATATATTTTATTTTACATTTCCACTTGCAATTACATTATTTTGATAGTATAATCTCCTGGCTATTGCCAAATCAATGTTTGCAAGACTTGTTAAAACCTCTATTTTATAATTACTGCTTTGCCTCCAATTACACAAAAAAATATGAAAATTATGCATGTCATTGGACCAAGATTGGGACTAATTATGCTATGTTTATGCAAACATAATGTAACAGAAGACAAAGATCCTGTAAAATTACGTAAATTACTTTGGGACACGAGAATAGAAATTCGTGATTTCAATGTTGGTATGTTTAATGTGTATGTTGTAATTATAAAAATGTTCTTCACCAATTTGTCCCAATTTTAAATGTTATTTTATTCGATAATGTTACATGCATACTTTTTAATGCAATAATTGACCGTGGCAACATGACATGGGTTCATGGATGGAAACACTGAGCCACGTGTGTGACCTTCATTGTTCACACTTTGTCATTGCGGTTTTTAATTCAATCTGGTATCCATAGAACGGGCAGCGCTGTGTACAAGGTACCAATGGTAATTCAACCAAATTGGCCTCGACCATCGCCCTTGCTCGTTTAAATAGAGAGACATTCAGACTTTTCTGTGTGATGAGCACAATTTTTTAAAGTTACATTTATCACAGTACATTTATATATAGTATTTGAAAGAAGGGTAGTGTTCACCTCCATTCAAAAATTTGAGCCAGTGATGGAAATTCCACATTCATATGGTGGGGACCAGTATTGTCCTAATACGATACATTCTGTGAATACAGCATTTAATTTACTTTAGCATCAAAGCACGTAATTAAATACTACTAATCTCTTTGTGCATATAATTCACTTTCAATGTATTATTTTCCAATACCAAGTCATGCAACATTGCAATGCAGGTTTAAATAGCATCTTTTATAAGCTATATCATATAATTAATTGATTTGCACTTCAAAAAAGATCGGCAAACAGAATGGCAGACTGTAGTGGTGCATGATGATGGAGTTTGGCATATTCAGTATAAACAATGCTGCCTCACCTTCTACTCCGTCTCCCACATCCCTCCCCTCCACCTGTTCAGCACCGAATGGGCCGCTCATCACGGTGACCATCAACGGACCGGTCTTCGTGGAGCGCAACCTGGTGGAGAGCAGCCTGGCGCTGAGGCCCCACGAGAGCCCTGGCGAGGGGACCGAAGCCGTCATGACCACACCACTGCCAGAGCAGAGTCCGCATGTCTCCGGCAAGTTGGTCACAGCCTCAGAGTACCGGCCACCGCCACCATCGCCCACTTCCCCGGTGACTCAGAGCGGCCCTCTGCTACTGTGCGAGAATAATTTGGCTCCGGCAGGCGGTGCCCAGGAGGGCGATCTCTTGAGAGCGGGAGCTGGGCTGGTGCGGAATCACCCCGTGGAGTCCGAGTCGCCCTGCGAACACGAGTGGGCGACGTGCGTCGTGTAGCCGTAGATGCGACGAAGCCAAGCGTTGTGGCGGCTACCTGCAATCCAGGAGGTGGAATCGTCGCATGGATCTCATCATGTGCTGTGAGACCCCCGACCAGCTGGGAAGAGAAGTGGCCGGGTGATGGCAGTGCAGAAAATGGGCTACCAGGTTTTGGATGTTAACCCACATACTTTTGGGTCTCATTCATGTAATCTAGTTTCTACTGATATTCAAATTCTCAGGAAGAAATGATTAGTCGAATGTTGTAATATGCGACTCCTGATGAAGAGAGTGAAGACTCGGTGAGGATTTCTGGGAAAAATATTCTACAATCCTGATTATCATGAAATATAAATGGAAGAAACCCTCCATCTGAACGATATGCTTGAGCATGAGTTACATACAAAGGGTGGACCTATAGGTCACTGTAAAAGCTGAATCATGATATATTAAAATATAAGTTGCCCGCACTTCGGTGTTAGCACTTGGATATACAGTAGCTGTTTTGTCACGACTTGGATTGTGATTCAAAATGTCATGTTTAAAATTTATGGATGTTTTAGCCACAATTTTGGGTTTTTATTAAAAAAATTAGGATAAATTTAAATGACTACATTTTAATAACCGTCAATTTTACCATTACATTTTCATATTTAGTTACATGTAAGTTTTAGGATTATACATTCAAAAAATGTACTTCTCAAAAGTGTAAATAATCTTTATTTTGGTTATTTTAAGTGAAATTATTTAGAATTTTTATAATTCCAGTTTAATTGATAAGAAATGTATTTTATACTCATAATTTTAAACCACTTGCTTTGAGTCAACTTAACGTTTATTAATTTTGTTTGTATTATCTTGCTGGTAATAATTACACTTGGGCATTTTATCCGAGAGTTTCACTGAGTGTCAACATTATTTTTTCAGGAGTGTCTTGCATTGGGATATTAGATCAACACCTGTATTAAAATTACGAAATCTCAACAAGTTTGTCAATAACTTCGTGTGGTATTTTTGATTTAAAGCTTTCGTGACTGCAGTAATTCATATTCTTATTTTGTTGTTTCCCTGCAACGTGACTTTACCGAAAGAACTAAGAATATATATAACTTCGTGTGGTCTTAAAATAAAACTATTTAATCGGTGGCGTTTTGCACAATGGCCCTTCTTTGTAGCACATAAATTGAGAGGCCAGAGAGGTATGATGGATGACAATTGGGAGACTGCACTTTATACCACGGGGCCAGATTAAAAATGTTTTTAATGTTTCCTGAAAATATAAAAAATGGCTTCTGAAGTTTTTTTTTTCCCAGATGAAAAAAAATATTTTAATCAGCTCCTATGATGTAAACTGCCATCCCCAACTCCTATCATTCACGCCATCTCTGAACTATGTGCCATAAAGTAGGGACATTGCCCGAAACGTCACGCCATATAGTGTTCCTTCTAAGGCAGTGTTACTGAAGAATGTGTTGAGTTTTTTTTATCTGTGTTTGTGCACAACTGTCAGCGCAACATCACCAAATTACTAAATGAGGGATGGCACTAAACTGCAGTAGCTGGATACAAAAACCCCACCTTGCTTACAGGAGGATCACAGCCGAAGGCCAGCTCTATATACCGGTTTCAAAATCACGCTCCGCCTGCATCACCTCTATATACCAGTCCAGCAGCTTTGGGAATATATGATCTATCAACGCTTGCCTTCAACACACTTGCTCAGAGCCGTGGGATACCAAGGCCAGCTGTTGGACAGTGTTGATCACACCTGCAATGTCATAGCCAAGGAGGTGGGACAAGAGGGAATTTTGCTCGACATGTAAAATATATCAAATCGGTACATGGTTTGGGCAAGACATTCGACTTAATTTGAGCTGTGAAACAACAACACATTGAACAATAATTAATTGTAATTGATTACAAATTAAATTGTGTCTGAGTCATAAAAAAGCACATTATAACATGAGCCAGCGGATTGAAAGTTGTACTCTGCAGATGTTAAGCTAGGCCACTTTACATCCTACCCCCTCGGCTACAGTGTCTCCTTGTCTGTAACAGAGCCAATATTTTTTCACACAAGGGTTGCCCTAGCGATCAATGGATAGTGAGGAGATCTCACTGCCAAATCTGTGGACACATCCACAGCAAATATTCCATGAGACATGTGGCATGGCCTCCATGTATGTCCCTGATTTGTGAGGTAGGGTTCACCCTCCGCACTTGTGAACTTTTCGTGAAAGACGTAGTGCAGAATATACTTTTGTACGTAACGAATGCTTCTCATATTGCGTAGTTCATACGATGGATTTAGATTCACACAAGTTGTAAGTTAGTTGACCGTCTAGGTCGTGTGCAGTGGAGTAAAGTGTGGGCATTCCCACCTCGAAAACGTCTGGCAGGGTGGAAGAGTAGACCAACAGACCAACATATCCATGAGCGCAGCTCTCGAGAGCGCCTTCTGGTGGAGGGCTCTTCTGTCCGCAGTGGTGTGAGCAAGCAATTGCAGGGCTGCGTCTTTACCTTTTTTATTCAATTGGTTTTATGTCATTTTTACAGCCACTGGAGGTGCTACATTCACCACAAATGGTAAAAAAAAAAGAATCGTTGAATTGAATTGAGACCGAGAAGCATGAGAATTGTGAAGTGTGCAAAACATTTACACTACCACTGATTGCAAGCATTTAAAAATGCAATTGACCAACTGCCAGAATTTAATTGTGGTATAACTGCTATGTTTATATGCTATGGAAATTATTGTAAAGTTTTTTCAAAGTGTAGTTCGTAAAACATTTTTTTTCTGGTGAGGAATATATACATTTTATCATTTAAGAAATATACAAACAATTGTTTCAGATTTGTAATGAGGTTATACAAGCGTTTTATATTGGTTTGCATTTATGGCAAATTTTTATTTTTGTTAAATAGCGATTCTGTGACGTAACGAATGATTTATTTGATGTTAATAAAAAATAACGCAGCCTTGAAAAAAGATTTGTGATGGAAATGTGTTTTGGTTACTGGTAATACTTTCCAATAAACACGTTAACACATAACATATACAATTTCAGTGAGTGTTTTTCATACATATCAATATGACATTATTTGCTTGCTGCATATGATATATGTTATCTTACAAATAAATTGAATTATGTGTGCAGAAGCTCAAACTGTCTTATTTAACATTCCACTCTGTGTACATGCTTTTGGGTGCACTCCATTCCTTGGCTGCCACTCAATTACTATTTTTGTTGTTGCTGTAACTTGCAAATCTGCCCATTCTGAAGATCTGTGAAAAAGAGCTTCATAACTCATCGGATTCCTCCAGCATAAATATTCTGATTCTGTCTATCCTTGACCACCGGCCATCATCCCTTCTAGCAATGTTTGAGGTATATCTTTAACCAGTCTATTTGAATGGTTGGCTACGTACGGTGCAAAATAATTTCAACATTGGGCAGTCCTCGGGTTACGAACCTAATTGGTGACCTGAGACTCGTTCGTAAGGGCGGAACACAATAATGGGCTACAGCGATTCCTTGACTTTCGTCCACTTTCGTCGCTTCGCTCTTTCGGCCGTTTGCAACTATAACCACATGTCAAATTTCAATTATAACCACGTGTCAAATTTCAATTATAACCACGTGTCAAATTTCAATTATAACCACGTGTCAAATTTAGTCCACGTGGCTTTCCCCTTTCGTCCGATTTCATCCCAAACCTTCCACGACGTTCTTGCCATGCATCATATTTTTCGTTCAGTCTTTGAATAGAAGTCGTTCAGTGAGCATTTACTACTCTAATGAGCCAAGAATGTCTGTGTGTCCCGTGCGTGACGTCAATCCATTTCGACCAGCCCCCCCTCATTAATAACCATGAACAGGTGACGTCCTCCACATGGACCCCCGCTCCTTAACAATCATGAGTGGGTGACGTCACTCCACATGGAGCACCCGCTCCCCTCATTAATAATCATGAGCATGTGCCGTCACTCCACATCGAACAGCCCCCCTAATTAATAATTAGCGGGTGACGTCACTCCACATGAGGGGCGAGGCGCCTCCTCCCCCCTCCTCAGCGTCAACTCACAACCCTCACTACAAAGGCAGAACCCTCACGTCATCACGTCACGTGATCTCCGTCACGCTGTTGAGACATCAAAGTAAAAAGGACGTCGTGATGAACAAGGGATTATAATCTTAAAATGAAATAAGTCTGTCACCGCGCCCTTACAAATTGCACACGCATTGATGCAGTGAATATCACGTCCGCGGTCTGCTTTTCGCTTGCAAGTTTCAGATTTACTGCAATACACCCATACTGTAAACAATTAAATTATTTCTGTGATACAAGTATAATACTACAGTGTTCATAGTTATTTTCGTGATTATAAAACACGTGTACACTATTCATACTATGCAAATTTTTGTGATTACTGCAAAACACTAAATTTTTGTGCTTTAATATATTCATGATGGGTCCTAAGTGTGGTGATAGTAAAGCTAAAATAACCCATAAGGTTCTCAATTTGAAAGAAACGTTTGATATACTCAAACTTACTGAGCAAGGATAAATAAAGGCTCTGCTTTGACGTCAAATTCGTCCATGCTCTTGTCCCGAACCAGACGAAAGTAAGAGGTGTTCCTGTATGTAAATGCCCATACCGTCAGTGTTATGAAATGTTATAGTTCAGCAAACACGGAAGGATTGTTAAACTCATAACTAATAAGAAATATTGTACATTTGCATGTAACACTGTAAACAATACGCTATAGTAAATAAAGCATAGAGTAATATTTATATATATTTAAAAAACTGGTTTATTTTTCACTGATGCTAGCCTGTCGTGAGAAGGGGGGGTAATGAGTCGACACAATTGTACAAAGACAAAGATCCCCCGTATAGCCTTAACAGACTGTAGGGGCAAGTGCTGTTAGCGAGCACCTATGAAGGCCGGATCGGCACACGAGGGGGTGGGTAGCCAGCACCACGCCCGACCGCCTTTGTCTCCCCAGTGGCGATGTTTACACACCGCACCAGGTACTCATTTGAGGCTGAGTCGACCTAGGGGAGGCCCGGGACCGGTTCAGATAATCGTCACTGGTGTTGGCCGTGAGCGGGAATCGAACCCGAGTCGCCAGATTCATAGCGCAGCGCGCTAACCGCTACACTACCGCTCCCCACAATTGTACACACACACACGTGCGCGCGCACACACACAAACACTCCCTGAGCGAGCCGGCTCATTCCATCTCGCAGAGGATGGCTCCTCTGAACAAAATAGCTCCACGGTTCAGTTTGCAATTGCGACCTCGCGTTTTAAGTTGATTTAATAAAAAAAAATCCATGGAAGCTCGTTTCGTAAGTATGGGCGTTCGTAAGTCGGGCGTTCTTAAGTCGATGACTGCATGTATATACATACTGTGTATGTTCTGTAATCCATGTGTTCCTCTTTCTGTCTCTCAATGTAATTTCAAGCATACATCTATACAAGCTTTTGCAATTTTAAGTTTTTGTGTTCTCACAGAGGAGTACCTATTTTATTGGCTCCAAAGGTATAACGGGCTGAATCAAACCTTTACTGGGATATGAACTGACAATCTTCCAACTGTGGGGTTAGCATATGGACGTATTGGCGGTACACCGGTGCAGCATAACACATCGGTCCTCAGAAAATTCTAAAATTAAAATTTGAATCTGAAATTTTGTTTATCAGTCTGTAATTGACGCTGTCATCGAGTTTGACTTTAATTGGGTCGAGGCCACGCCATTTGGTTGGGCTTTGAGCAACAGCAGAAGCAGCAGCTCCCTTGGCGTTGACTTACGAGCCTGAGGTGAGACTCGAGCATCATCATCTTCGTCGTCGTGTTGACCCGCCGATGGATAGTACGGCAAGACTTACAGCCGCTTTCCCATTCGACCACGTGACACGAGTCAAAATCTTTTGATGCCACCGTCCGCCAAGAAACGATTCCGGATATGAATCAAGGAACCGTCCGGCCAAGTTTAAGGCACGAGTCAAAACGTACTATTTGGTTCTTTCGGTAGAGTCACGTAGGTATAAAATAAAATACATTTTAAAATTAGTTTTTCGGTAAAGTTACGTAGGTATAAAATAAAATAAATGTTATACCTACGTGATTTTACCGAAATAACCAAAGAGTATGGATCCCTGCAGTCACGAAAACTTCAACTCTAGATTGAGTCAAAACCAGGCTGGGTTGCTATATGGGAAGAGGCTGTGTGAAGCGTTGTGTTCAGCTGCTCATGACATTCGTCTTCCGAGTGCTTCGACACCATGAGAACTG